GGCAGGACCTCTTAATGAGCTGCAGGCTTTGCAGCTAAAGCTGAGTCAGGAAGCCTCTCTTAGATGAGGCGCTTGCTTGCCTCTGGCAAGCAGAGTAGACCCGAGAAATTGCTGCTACCAAGAAACCAGGCACAATGTTTTCATTTTGTTCTAGAATTACTTCCCAAGCTGTCTCAGGCTTTATGTGGAAGCAGTTGTCCACGTGGGCGCCATATGAAGTAATAAGGGCGGCGGGGCTGCGTCCCCAGCACCCCGGCCGCCTGCTCGGCTAGCTTATGCCCCGAAATAATTACACAGACACTGTATTCTTTTAAGCACTGCTTGGCCCTTTAGCTCTAGCACTTACAGGCTAATTCTCACATCCCGATCAACCCATTTCTAATCATCTGTGTGTGGCACCCCAAGGTGCGCTTACCAGGAAGATTCTAGCCTATGTCCATCCTGGGTCGGAGCTTCATCGTGTGTGTCTGCCAGGGAGCAGGGCATGGCGTCTCTCCTGAGGCATCTGCTCCGGAGAGAGCTGTGGAGTCTCTGAGCTCACTTCCTCTTCCTCCTAGCATTTTGTTCTGTTTACTCCTCCCACCTACCCTCTAACCAATAAAATGGGCCAGGGCAGTGCCTTTATTAGCCAATGACCTTCCTCCATCATGAAATCACTTGAGGGCAATAGGTCCAGAATGCCAAAGGCTGTTCAGTCAATTTTAGACTTTTCCAAGGAGATACTAATTGTACAGAAATGGTTGTTTTTCAGCTGCTTATGACTGCTGCTGTTTCCTAGCTCTTTCAACCTGGCCAAGAGCCTTCCTTTCCAGTCAGTACAGACCCTTAAACCCAGCAGAGAGAAGTGCTGTGAGTTCAAGGCCAACCATGGTCTAAGTGGAGAGTTCCAGGACAGCTAAGGCTAGTAGCAGAGCCCTGTCTTAAAACAACAAACAAAGGTGCCTTCCCTTTTCTAACTCCCTTGCAATTCATGATCTGTGTCCACAAACTGAGAGATAAAAATGCACAGCAAGACGTGTAGGTTCTACTGAAAGCAGAAAGACAACTTTACTTGTCTCTATCCTCATTCTATGAGGATCTTTGAGTCTTAAAACCTAGCGTTTCCAGCACAAAGGCTTGGTCAGCTTGGTAAATCTGGAAAGTTTTGAAACTTTACTGATTGCACTGCTGCTCTCACTTCCGAATCAGGGAGTAAAGGGATGGGAAAAGAAATGTGAGTAAAATCCAAAACTGGGCGGTGGTGGGGCATGCCTTTAATTCTAGTACTTCAAAGGCAGAGGCAGGTGGATCGCTAAGTTTGAGGCCAGCGTGGTCTAAAGAGAGAGTTCCAGAAGAGCCAAGGCTATTCTTGAGAAACTCAGTCCTGGAAAAAAAAAAGTAAAATCCGAGATATTAATCCTGCTGGTTAGCTTTCCTTTGCTGACTAAATTATCCCAGGTATTTGATGTGGATGGTAGAAATCAGTTCTCACAAGTGAGATTAAAAAAAAAAAAACAACACACTATTAAATTCAAGGGCATGAGGAGTGTGGGAATGCATGCTGGGTGGTGTTGAATGCTGTCTTTCAAGCATTTCAAGCAGCTGTGCCTATTCAAGAGTCCCAAGAGCTGGCCAGTCATTCTCTCCCAGAAGGGGTGGGGAGTGTCCTAAGATCCTCTGCTTAGATTTCAGCCATTGGCTCCTGCACCTCCCACCCAGCTGTGCATGTTCTGCCCAGCTGCATGTGGTGTCAGGAGGTGATAAAGCAGCTGTGGTCTGAGACTTTAATTAATGAAGCTGTTTTGGGATCACCTACGCGCCTGTAGTAAGCCCAATAAACTCACTGGTTCACCAAACTGGATTTGGGTGGATTCATTACTTTGGTTTATTCTTGGTGCCCTATTGGGGATGAGTAGGCATTTACTCCTATCTCCCCAGGAAAAGTTCATGACATAAATTGGATCTCCATACCACTCAGGGCTCCCCCAAATCAAGAAAAGCTCATTTAGGGTAGATATCATATTCAAGAATTTATTAGACACTACAAAGAAGAGGCCATGCACATTCCTGTTTCTCATTCTCATTAAGTGATAGTGGCGGGTGAGTAAGATCTGAAGGTCAATAGATTTTGTCCTCCCACCTAAACGTGTGCTGCTGCCTCTGATCTTGGTGCATCATGGATTTACAGCTGAAACAGCATCCAAAAAACCCCAAATAACACAACGAGGGTAGTATGGAGCTGCTGGCGGAGGGGGCTGGATAAGATTTAACACAGTGACACTTGACAACACTTTTTTTTACAACACTATAATTATAAAGTTGAAGGCACATCTTCGGCAGAAATATCAATTTACATGCGCATGAGAAAAACAAACTAGACTACAGCAAACAAATATTGCACAAAGTTGTCCGCTCCTGTTTTGGATACTAACCAAAGTTTTACAATACATGACTAAACATTTCTTTAAAAACACAAGGTTGAGACACCTGGTTCTGGCTACAAAAGGCATTTATTATTATCAATGTCATTAAAAAGCTCAGGTGACTGAGAAATAAGAATTCATGCTTTTTGTTTTATCTTTTTACCCATTACCAGATCAAAGGACTCAAGAGAGTCAGCATAAAAGTTGGTAATGATTTGGCATGGATCTGTATTTTTATATTTGGTAAAGAAATTGTTTTTAAGTACAGAAAACAAAATAATCCAAAGGAGTGATATCAGGAATGTATATTTTTTAAAAAAGAATAACCTGTAACCAGATGCCTCATTCAAAGAAAATAACAAGATAGAGTAAAATAAATATTAAGAAAATAATTTTCAAACAGAATCCACAAGTAATGGGAAAATCCTCTACTACACATCTATTTCATTTTAAGCTGTCTACAGAAAAGATATGCACGCTCACATTTTTGGAAACATCTTGTCTATAGTGCTATTTCAAACATTCTGTATATATAAATGAAGAATAATTTTTTAAAAAATTAAAGCATAATATAAAATTATTTGTTCATAAGGCATCAAATTTAACTTCCTAAAATGTTGATACTAAAGTAGGAAAAGCAACATTTCTATTTCACACCTGACAACTATACTTTTAAAACTACAATAGTAAATACTCTAGTTGTGTTTTAATCTTTAAATTCAAAAGGCATCTTTGGATAATTAGGTTAAAGGTGCCTCCTAGCTGAGTCTACATCAAGCACTGGACAACAAAGTGTCCACGGTGCCTTCTGACAAAGAGAATGGTTGCTGATTGAGTATAGACGAGTGGCAAAGAAAGTGTAAAGAACCTCAGAACAGATGCAAATAGAAACCCATTTTCTTTCTGAAGGTGCGCTCTCTCTCTCGCTCTCTCTCTCCGTGTATGATATGTGTATATACATATGAACATTCTCTTATAGAACCTGTTCTCAACAGTAACACATTATCTAAAGTTAGTGACCAACTGAAAGCAATGTGCTTGATCCCTCTCTAAATGAATCTCCTCTTCTAGGAATACAGCCTCTCTCAAACACATTTTTCTGGTAGCGAGAAGTGAAATGCTATTCTCACAGTCCTACAACATGATGTGGAGGCAAGAGGAGGGCTCAATTATACATGTGTAACAGAAGGCTAACTGGCTGAGAGCCGGAGGACTTGTATTCTCAGTTTGGGTCCAGAGCAAGAAAAGTCTATTGTACATCTCTAGCATTAGCTGTTTCTTCTAGGAGTCAACAAGTTATATTATGATGGGTTGCTAGAATTAAGAAACAAATATTCAAACTCAAATTCTTAAGATGGCATAGGGATTGGTCTAAAATTGAGTTTAAACACATAAGCTCATTCGCACTTTATTAAAACAGGTTTGCCTTTCTAGACTAATAGCACCTTCATCAAAAGTCTCACCTCTTTACGATAGCTAAGAGAGAAGTTAGGTCTTCCCCAAGTCTGGAAAGACAGCTCTGAAGAATGTAAACGTTTCTGGGGGTTGTGAAGGAATAAGAGAGAAAAGAGACGGAATGGAAGAATCCCATTCTCCTTTTCACTTTATACTCTGCTCTATAAAAATGATTTTTTTTATATTCAATATTGACCTGAAAAAGACAAATGAACATTTTCGGAGCACAAATCATATAAGATAGGCAATGTGCTTAAAGTATAGCATGCAAATAAAAGATTAGGAGTTTGTTTATAAGCGCAAATGTTTTGAACAAGAGAAAAATATTGACTATAAGATATCACAAACCAGAGACTTTCTTATTTCTATATTACAGCTTTCTGTGTGTTTTGATAAAAGCAGCTTTGTATGATAGTATATTTAAAAATCATTTTGATAAGTTATCTAATAATAAGAGGTAACTAAATTTTTATTAAATTATAATATACCAGCCAAGTGATTGTATCCCAAAAGAAGAATTTAGTGAGTTCAGGTACTTTTATATAGCCCATATATGTTAAGATATTAGTGTCAATCTTTGAAGAACTTTTCTGTGAAAGAGGCTCAAATGGTAAGTTTCTAGCCTGGAACTGAGGGACAGGCTCCACCAGGAACAAAGCTGAACTCATCAGGAGAGAGCTGAATGCTATCCCAGAGCTAGGCAAACTGAAGAGTCAGTGATTTCTGACAGCAGTGGGGAAACAGAAGGGTAGAGAACTCTGCACTCTCTGAGGTCTTCTGAGTGACACAATAAAATAAGAGAAGATATCAGAAAAATGTCAGTTACAAAAATGTTTTGAGATAGGGTCTTAGTGTATATAGTCCAGGCTGGTTTTGAACTCGCAATCCTCCTGCCTCAAGTCAGTTATTTTAATCAAGGAAAAATCACCTAAACTTGGTTTACTTGAAAGGTGACAAAAGCCATCCTGGGGCTCTTAGAAACTAAAGGACAAGGACGCAGGCATTATGAGGTGAAAGCAAACCCACAATAAATAAGGCACATCTATTTTGAAACAGTTGCAACTGTTTTCCTTCTAAACTAGATGCTTTGTACAGTGCTTTGAAAGCCATTGCTTCCCATTGAGGCAATGATACAGGCTCAAGAATATCCTCAAGGTCATGCTCTCAAATCTTCACATTTTTAATCATCCTCTCTTTGGGCACTTTTTTGGTCAAATAAAAATGATTTGCCATATTAGCAGCAAGTCAGCAACCTCTAACTGTGGAGTTAGTTCTAAACTTGCTGCTCTATCCTCTATCCCAAGTAAAACAAAACTGCTGGGAATTTGTTTTGGATAATGCCAGGTTCAGAGCTCTTGCCCTGAGAAATCTATTTTTGCCATTAACAAATACAACTCAGATAGAATCCTGCACATAAGAGCATGAGACTGACATAAGATCCTTCCATGACAATGTACGTGCTCCATCAGTGCACAAGAACTTCAACTAGCAGCATCCCCCGAGACCTTTTACAGTGTGGTGTCATCATCTTCCCGGAAGTCTCCCACTAGAAGCGAGTGCTTGTCAGGTTCACTAGTAACAATACTGTTGAGGGAGCGTTTGTCAGACAGTAGTGAGTTTATGGAGGCTCTGCTGTAATTGACAATCCGGTCCAGCAAGCCCAGTCTTGGAGAATTTCTGGAAGCATCATCTATTCCAACGTGAACGCTGATTTCTGAAGGACTCCTCTGTCCTGTGTGTCTTCGGGCACCGAACTCATAATTGTCATAAGTTGGTTTCCTGTAACTAAACATACATTAAAAGCAACCAAATGTTAACTAGATGCTTGTTGTATGCACAAACAAATATTTGCCCACTATGAAAATGTACAAAGGTGGCTATCACTAAGAAAGTTGCCTGAAATGAACTTCGTGGTGTCACATAATGCAAAGTCCCACTTGGGCTTATGTCTGTAATGCATACACTACATAAAATGATAACTACTTAGCTTTTTCTTTTTGTTTTGAGACAGGGTCTTTACTATGTAGCTAAGCCTGGAAAATTTGATTCTCTCGCCCCTTCCTCTGAGTTCTGAGAATACAAGTGTGTACCACCACACACACACCACTCATACTATATTTATTAATTATTCCCTAATAATTCTTAAGATTTGTTTAGGAGTCTGGGAAGACGACTCAGCAGATAAAGTGATTGCTGTTCAAGAATGAGAACCTGAGTTAGGATCCCCAGCACTCATATCAAAGCTGGGTGTGGTGCCTGTACCTGTGATCTAGTGCCAGGAAAGTGAAGCAGGAAGAATCTGGGGGCTCAGCTCAGTCTAGCTAAACTGGTGAACCCTGGGTCCAGTCAGAGACTCTGCCTCAAAATATAACGTAAAGAAAATATAAGACACCTGATGGCCACCTCTGACTGCCACACACATTGTGCACACAGGTACATGCACGCGCGCGCGCGCACACACACACACACAATTACTTGGGAATACTCATCAATACAAGAATCAAACCTATTGAGAAAATGATGAGCAAGTCACCATACTTACAGTTTGAGAAAAAGGGAAGAAAGTACTACAGAAACAGATGAAGCAGCCATTGCTGCGGATCCCATCCATGGTTGCAAAATCAAACCAATGGGCAGAAAAACTCCTGGAAACAAATTTGAATTATCAACACATTTATAACATATGCACAATTTATGTTCTTACTTCTTCAGCATTTTATCCTCTTGGTTGTAGAGATTTGTGTTGCTGTCATTTTTTTCTTAGTAGAGTGAGTGCTCTCATGAATATTCTTGTCCCCATTTACTCATGTTTCACAATTTCCCAGGGGTGCATTCTGTTAGCTATAGGTAGATAGTCCTCGGTTCTCTAGTGTACCAGAGCTCATACTCGACTAATTCACAAACACATGCCTTTTCTTTTCTTTTTCTGCATACTTTTTTTTTGTGAGATAGCATCTTACTATGAAGCCCTAACTGGCCCAACTCACAGAGAATTGCATACGTGCTGGGATTAAATCGGTATGCAGCATCATACCTGACCCAACTTTTTTAACTTAAAATTTTAAATCTATTTGTCTCTCTGTCTATCTGCCCATCTATCAATCTATGTTTTTCAATGTCTTGCTATGGTAGTTCTGACACCTGGAACATGATATATAGCCCAGGCTAGCCTTAAACTTGCTGCTATCCTCCTGCCTTTGCCTCTCAAATGCTGGGATTACAAATGTGAGCCACCATGCCAAGACACATTTGTTTTCAATATATTTATTTGTCAATTTGTTGGTTTTTTTGAAACAGGGTTTCTCTGTGTAACCTTAGAAGTACTAAAACTTACTCTGTAGACAAGGCTGGCCTTGAACTTAGAGAGACCCACCTGTCTCTGCTTCCTGAGTACTGGGATTAAAAAAGTGTACCACCACTGCACAGTCCTTTTATTTTCCTTTTAATTGTGTGTGTGTGTGCAGATGTGTAGGTACAGATTTTCTGTACTACTTTTTCAATGTTTACTTAAGTATGAATTTTTTCAAATTATAATATTGAAGGGAAAAAATTTTAAAGTATCAAAATGTTTACAAATTCTTAGGCTGTAATAAACTTCATTGAATATTACTGGTTTTAACATCACCTCTCACCAAATTAGCAAGATATATGCAAAAACTAAGGTCAAAACTAAACCTAATTCTTCCAATATGATAGGTGTCTAATGATTTTAACCACAAAAGTAAAAGCTGTTAAGAATCACATACCAGCAGCGATGGGAATTCCAATCAGATTATAAATTAGAGCAAAGACAAAATTGATTCGAATCCTCTTGACTGTCTTCCTTGACAAGTCGATACTTGCTACAACATCCAGAAGGTCATTCTGAGAAGAGAGAGGTCGGTGACATTAGTGAGACTAGTCTATCGTCACTAGGAACTCCTCTACTCATCACTCTGTACAATGGAGATTATGTATGTCTTGGAATATACTGTGAATTAAGTACAAATTTCAGATACTGCTAAGCCTTGAGTAAAGTTTGGAAGAGGTTTTTCAAAAAAAATTGAGGGTCTGAAAATGTTTTCAGGTTTGTGTGCTAGTATACGGACTGAATATTTAACTAACATCAGTGAATATTGTTGTAGACAGTTTTATTATTGTTTTTTTTAAATATTTATTTATTTTGTATACAATATTCTGTCTGTGTGTATGACTGCAGGCCAGAAGAGGGCACCAGATCTCATTCCAGATGGTTGTGAGCCACCATGTGGTTGCTGGGAATTGAACTCAGGACCTTTGGAAGAGCAGGCAATGCTCTTAACCTCTGAGCCATCTCTCCAGCTCCAGTTTTATTATTGTTAAATCTTGTTTTAACATCAGAAGCTTGTGATTCTCATTTGTGTTGCTGGACTGAGAGAGAATGTCAGTAACCTCCACTCCAAACTCAGACTTCATAGCTAGGAAGGAACATGGGACTCCGGGCAGGATCACTACACAGTGAGCTTTACAGCACTACCACTAACCGTGGCAGGCAATTGCTCACTCCTCAGATCTCAGACCACAGGACCTACTCTAGTGTATGAGTATTGCCTGCTAACTGACTGTACCACTGGAGCTCCAGGACTTACTTACCCTTATTAAAACCACATCGGCTGCTTCAATGGCTACATCTGTGCTCGTGCCAATGGCAATTCCAACATTTGCCATTGCCAGAGCTGGAGAATCATTGATTCCATCTCCTACCATCGCTACCCGTTTTCCCTCCTCTTGAAGCTGTTTCACCTTAGCAACTTTATGGGAAGGCAGAACTTCAGCAAACACCTTAGTAATGCCAACCTATATGAAGAAAAATCAACTCAATTCATTTCAGGAAGTAATATTAAATACTGCAAACAAAGCTGAGCTTAGAATCACGAGCCATCATTTTTAACCTGCCAGATGCTTACATTTAAAAGACTGAAAATATTCACTCAGAATGAGAAGAAGTGAACATTATTTTTTAATAGACTTATTTATTCTTAATGTTTTCCCTGCATGTTTGTAAACATACCAGACATGTGCCTGATGCTCACAGATGTCAGAAGAGGATACTGGATGCCCTGAAACTGGAGTTAAATATGGTTGTGAGCCACTACCCTGAGAGCCAAACCTAGGTTCTCTGCAAGAGCAGCTAGTTCTCTTAATGGCTGAGCCATCTTTCCAGCCAATAAGCAATCTTGTGTACTGTTATTATGAACAGAATGACACTGTCTTCATGGTAAGAGCATTCAAAGTGTGCACATCATCTGCTCTGGAAAATCAGCTTTCAACTATAAATAGACACACTCTTTCATGTCCAAAGATACCAAGAATATTTATTATTGCCAGTTTTCAAAAATGAAAAATTCAAAACCACCTAAACATCCACTAGTAGGGGAATAGTAATATAAATTATAATTCATCCATACTATAGAATTCGATGCAGCAGTTTAGAAGGAATGAAATAATTTTATGTACAGAGACATAAACAAAGATCTAGGGGCCGGGCGTTGGTGGCGCACGCCTTTAATCCCAGCACTCGGGAGGCAGAGGCAAGCGGATCTCTGTGAGTTCGAGGCCAGCCTGGTCTACAAGAGCTAGTTCCGGGACAGGCACCAAAGCTACAGACAAACCCTGTCTCGAAAAACCAAAACAAAAAAAAAGATCTAGGAAATATTGTTATATATAAAAACTACTTAATAAACTATAAAATGATCCAATTAGTACTGAAATGCAGAACTACATACCTGGATACAGGTATATGCATACACGAAAGTAAGGTGGGAGAATTTGACAGAGAATGTGGAAAATGGTACAAATTCTTTACAACCTTCATATTCTTACATAAGAATGTACTCACATATTCCTTCTGTTACTTATTAGAAGAGGGCCATCAAGTTGGTTCAGTAGGTAAAGGTATTTACCACCAAGTTTAATAAAACCAGAGTTCAGTCCCCAGAACCCACACAATGAAGAAAAGGACCAGCTTCCACAAGTTTACCCTCTGACCTACGCACACATTCTGTGGCACATGCACGCGCACATACACATGCACATCCTATATACATACACACTAGAAGAGGAGAGAAGTCATTCTAAGTGCTTTTTAATAAAAAAAATGCTGGAAGTGAAACAAATGTAGGGTTAAGCCAAATGGTATGTCCAAAAAAAGAGTCCCACTGGTGGCATCCAGAATGGACCAGAGAGGAACCTGCATGCAGCTCCTGCCATTTTTACAGCAGGAGATGCTGAAGGATTGGCCACACTGCTGAAAACTATGTGCATCATTTCAACAGAAACATCAACAGAAACTAGTGTTCAGCAATGCTACTCAAACATTCTGCAAGCTATGCAAATACCTTTTCACATCTCTAACATACAATGTCTTTCTACCATACCACACTGATTGTTTTTAAGCGGTTAGGATAGCAACATGATGATAATGCAAACCATAGGTAAGGTGACTTTCTCAGCACTTGAACGGAAGAAAGAAAATGTGTATGGAGAATGAGATGTTAGCACATCCCAATAACTAAGTAAACCAATGAATTACCTGAGAAGCAATAGATCGAGCCGTTTTACTGTTGTCTCCAGTCATCAGAACTACTTCTAAGCCCATAGATTTCAGAATGTGGACAGCCAGCTCTGCCTCGGGTTTCACAGTATCAGCAATGGCTATCAAGCCACACAGCTCATCTAATATAGGAGCAGCAGAAAAACAGATTATGGTGAAAGAAGAATAACAAAACATCAGAATAAAATTTCAGACAGAAATGAACTCTGTTAAGCCACTGAGGACTTGGTTTAACTCAAAACATCCTAATCCATACAGACTTTATACCACACACTCTGTGATAAGCTTCCATATTTGTGGAAAATAAAATCAATAAAGTATGTATATTTAATGAAGGTAATAGTAGTAAAATGAAAATTAAGATGTCACTAAAAACTAAAAGACACCCACCCTTAGGTTTTAAAACTATAGCTACAAATACTTTTTATCTAATTAAAATGCAAACAGAATGAAAAACTAATAGGTGAATGGAGATAAAACTGGTATTTGATGCTAAGAAAAAATTATCAAAAGGTACTAATTTTCATTTTTTTAAACATTTATTTATTTATTACGTATATAATATTCTATCTGTGTGTATGTCTGCAGGCCAGAAGAGGGCACCAGACCTCATTACAGATAGTTGTTAGCCACCATGTGGTTGCCGGGAATTGAACTCAGGACCTTTGGAAGAGCAGGCAATGCTCTTAACCTCTGAGCCATCTCTCCAGCCCCTAATTTTCTTGTTTGAAAAACAAAAGTAAGAGGGCTGGAGAAATGGCTCAGTGAATATAAATATTTGTTACATAAGCATGAAGACTCATTAAAATTCTGTAACCCCAATACTGGGCAGTGGGGTTGAGACATAAGGATCACTGGGGCTTGCTGGTTGTCAGTCTAGTTTCAGGTTCATTGAGAGACGCTGCCTTATGGGAGTAAGGTAGAGAAAGTGATAGGACAAGACATCTACTGTCCTCCTCTGGCTACTGTGTGCATATTCTGCACACAGCAATGCAAAAGAATAAAATGTTATTCTATGCTTTATCCTGTACCTAACTAAAATTACAAAGCCAATACCTTCATACTTAGCAAGGACTATTGTTGCAAGGAGAGGGCCATTTGTTTGTCCCAGCTGCCCAGCTAGCTTAGCCCCAAAATAACCACACAAAAACTGTGTTCATTAAATCACTGCTTGGCCTATTAGCTCTAACATCTTATTGGCTAACTCTTACACCTTATTTAGGCCATTTCTATTAATCTATGTATCACCACGTGGCAGTGGCTTACCAGGAAAGATTTGGCATGTCTGATTCTGGAAGCTCCATGGTGTCTCTCCCTTTCTCTGCCTATTTTCCTCCCAGCATTCAGTTCTGTCTTTCCCGCCTACCTAAGTTCTGCCCTATCAACTAGGCCAAGGCAGTTTCTTTATTCATTAACCAATGAAAGCAACACACAAACAGAAGGAACTCCTACACCAGACTGTAAATGTTGAATAAACAGTCTCAGAACTGGAAATTTACCCTAGCAAATAGGAAGCATGTAAAACTTTATGTGTATGCTTATTGCAGTAAATGGTGAAATATCAAGACTAGGGCTAGCAGGATGCCTCAGTGAGTTAGGATGCTTGCCTGACAGCCTAAGTTTGATTCTCAGAATCCACATGCTGAAAAGAGAAAACTTTGACCTTCACCTGTGCACTGTGGAACATATATACCCTCATATAGACAGAAAGACAGATACATACATACACACAAACACACACAGAAAAATATAAGTAAAATTCAAAATACAAGTAAAAAATAAAGTTGTAACAATATAGAAATGATTATACAGCATGTAGCTTAAAATAAAATTCTAGAATTATAGGGTGTAGCCCCATTTGTAAAGTGCTTGTCTAGAATATATAGTCCTGTGTTTGATCTCCAGAATGCAGAAATAAATAGTACAATTATATGGCAATAATGGAAAATATTTCATCAAATAAAATAAACCTCAATAAAATATGTATACCTTAGTTATTTTTAATGTGTGGTACTATGGTTTGAACTCAGGGCCATGCCCATGCTAAGCAAACACTGTATCATTTATCAGTCTCACTATGTAGTCCCAGATAGTCAAACACAAGCTTCCTGCCTGAGCCTCCCAAGGTGATCATCACCATAACTGCCCCCCCCATTTTTTCCCCTAGTACTAGGTATGAAACCCAGGTATGAAACTCTACTGCTGAACTGCATCTCCAACAGGATTTTTAAGGGTTTTTTTGAGATTTAAATTGTGCATATGTTGTGTGTATCTGTATGTAATTTTGCACACATCTGTGTCAATGCCCACAGACACCAGAAGAGGGGGGCATATCCTCTAGAGCTGATATTACAGGCAACTGTGAACCACTCAACATGGGTTCTGGGAATCAAAATCTGGTCTTCTGCAAGAGTAGCAAGTACTTTTCATCACAGAATTATCTTTTCAGCACACACCCAAAACAGGATTTTAAATTTTTATTGAACTGTATTGACATAAATTTTACATATAGCCAGGTGGTGGTGGCACATGTCTTTAATTTTGCAGCACACAGGAGGCAGAGGCAGGTGGATCTCTGAGTTCAAGGCCATTTGGTCTACACAGTGAGTTCCAGGGATACACAGAGAAGCCCTGTCTCGGAACCTCCCTTCCCCCCAAATTTTTACATAGAAAAATGTACTACGCATTAGAAATAGTGCAAGGTTGGAGATTCAATCCAGTTGGTAGAGTGATTGCTTAGCATTTACAATGCCCTAGGGTCAATCTCCAGTACCATGTAAACCAGGCGTAGTGGTGCACAACTATAGTCCCAGCATTTGGGAGGTGAGACAAGATGATCAGAAGTTCAAGGTCTTTCGTGGCTATATAGTGAATTCAAGGCCATCTTGGGATTCTTGGGATGTGTGAGACTTCTCCGTGAGCCCCTGTGAGCTCTGCTTAGTTGATTCTGTGGGCCATGTTCTTGTCTCCCTAATCCCTCTAGCTCCTACAATCCTTCCACCCCCTCTTCCTAAGGATTCTCTGAACTCTGCCTAATATTTTGGCCTTTTTAAATTTAGTGCTTTGTTTTTGTTTTACACAGGGTCTCATGTAGCCCAGGTTTGCAGTGAGCTCACTACAGCATCATCTAACTATTGGTCCTCCTGCTTCCACCTCCTAAATGCTGGGATTACAAGCATGTACCACTATGTCCAGCTGATTTAGGTTTTTGTTGTGGTGGTGGTTATTTGAGATAGGGGCTTTCTATGTAGCCCTGATAGTCATAATTCTATCTCAGGCTCCCAAATACTTGTGTCATAACAGCTGGTAAAAAAATCCTTAATTAACAATAATCATATTTTGCTAATATTATAACTTTGTATTCAAGCCTCTTTGGAATAAACCTCAGAGTTTAAGTTCCACAGACACATAAAATAATGACTGAGATCACAATTGTGTCACAGAATATTTTAGAGAAACTTTACCATCAATTGTCACCAATACAGCAGTCCGACCTTTTCTTTCATGTTCAATCATGGAACTGTCTACTTCATTACTTATGACAAGACCATTTCTAATCATCCATTCCCGGTTACCAATGAGGACTTTGTACTGCTGAGTATCAACAGCATCTAGAAATACAGAAATAACATTTAGTGAGCTTATTTAACTTTTTTTAAATGTTTATTTATTTATTTATTCTGTCTGTGTGTATGTCTGCAGGCCAGAAGAGGGCACCAGACCTCATTACAGATGGTTGTGAGCCACCATGTGGTTGCTGGGAATTGAACTCAGGACCTTTGGAAGAGCAGGCAATGCTCTTAACCACTGAGCCATCTCTCCAGCCCAGCTTGTTTAACTTTTAAATCCATCTTGAGGCAAGTTCTTCTTGCCTAACCTTGCAGTCATTCTAATACATTTTTGGTAGAATATGACGTCTGACAGTGATTTTCAAGTTTTCCAGGAATATATTCTGCTCTTCCATATCTTCTGAGCCCATGTTGCTACCATGACTAAAGGTCCTTAACCTTTCGCTCCAAATAGAAAATGCCATTATACTGTTCAAGTGCTAGTTCATGCGCTAGGGATATAACTCAGTGGCTGAGCACTTGCCTAGCCTGAGTGAAGGGAGCTCTAAGTTCAATCTCGAGCAAGATGGGGAACGGGGATGAGAAGGTAGTAGTTCAGAGCTTCCCTTCTTACTGAGGTTTTCCCTTTGACACTCGAAAACCACAATTCAAACATTTAACTGTGCATCAATAGCTAATGTGGCTACATGGAAATATGCAACTATGTTGATGTTTCGTTTTAAACTGGTACTCACTAATTTTAAGTGAGCCTTTAGATGTTTGACTGCATGTCCCTAGTCCATTCATTATTTTCTCAGGATGACTATTTGAAATCTCCTCTACTTTCAAATCTAACTTTCCTCCCCCATTCTCATCTGACATGCAATTGCTCCCTGCAATCATAAGAGGACTTCTCATGGCCATATCTCCCCACTCCTGTGCATCCTAGGTGCACACAGCTTCTTTTCCCTCTGTTATAAACAGAGTCTGTGCCTGCCAAAGACCATCTCTCTACCTGTATGATAGTACACACTCCTTTGCCTATGCCAGACCATATCCCCAACTACTCTCTTCTCTACCTCCCGAATAATCAATTTTCTATCATCGCTGCTGCATATTATCTTATCTTTAAAAACAGAAGGAGCCTCTTGAGCTCACTGCTCTAGCTATCACACTTCTCTACTGCTGTGCACAAGAGAAGTATTTCCCCTACTAGTTGTCTCTAATTCACCACTGCCCATTTTCTTGTGAACATACTCAAATAAAGCTTTAGTCTCCACTACTCCAATAAACTATTCCCACAATATACCAGTGACCTTTACTTTAGTAAACCTAGTGCGGTTTGAACATCTGTTCCAGCAATAATGGATATGTTCTACATCTGCTATTTGATCCTATGGCCACTAGCCAACACATGTGGCGATTGAGGGCCAAAATGATCAAAGAGTTGGATTTTACATGAAATAAAATTTTAATTAACTCAAAATTAATAATCATATATAACTAGTGACTATAGTACTCAATACCACAGATCTACAAAGCAAATGACTCCCAATTCTGTTTCTCTAATTCAGCCTATTTCCTGGATTTTCAGGCCCCTGTAGACAACTGCCTACCTAATATTTCCATTTATGATACTTCCACTTACATAACTGTCAGACAGCCAAATGTAATATCTATAAAACTGGATTCACAATCTTGTCTCCCGTATTGTTCCTCTTATCTCCTTTATACTATTTAAATGGTAACTTCATCTATCTAAATGGGTAGGCTACTAAATTTGATATTACTTTGGCTCATGTGTTTTAATTTTTAAAAATTAATTAGTTTTTATGTATATAGGTGTTTTGTCTGCATGAATGTCTGTGCATCATGTGCATGCAGTGCCCATGGAGATCAGAAGAAGGCATGAGATCCCCAGGCATTAGAGTTAACAGCTGGTTATGAGCTGCCATGTGGGTGCTTGGAATTGAACCTATTACCTCTGGAAGAGCAGTCAATGTTCTTAAGTGGTGAGCCATCTCTTCAGTTCCTTGACTCTTGTTTTACTTACATTTTATATATCTAATTTGGTAATTAAATCTTCCAGCTTACCCTTCAAGACACATCCGGAATTTGATCATTTCTTACAAATTCTACTGTTACCACACTGGTCTGAGCCATTAATATGTTTTCCTGGGTTACGAAAACAGCCCAGTAACTCATCTCCCAACTTCTTTCCTTGCTCCTAGCTCCCATCTCCTCTCAGTGGTAGTGGAGATCAAATCCAGGGCCTCACACACGTGCTAATCACAAGGGGAGAAGAGAACTGAGTTCTGCCTCTGCCCTTGCTGATGATCATTCAAAGTGCTATGAAAAGTCCCTAATACAACAGATTCTCAACAAAAAAGCTGCTGAGTGATTTCCGACATGTCACTTACTTGATATTACATCCATAGACAAATAAAAATAAGTCACAGAGAAATAGAAATGGCCAGAAAATAATCATTTCATAGTGTGTCTAATATAATGGGAATGAAGTACAGCTAACATTTAAGAAGAGCAAGTATTTCTATCAATGCATATCAGCAAAGGTGTCACTAAAAAGAGTCAGGTCTAGGAAGACAAGCATATGTCAACAGGGTAGATGTTATTTGTGGGTGAGGCCACTGCATGGAGAAAACAGTAAATGGAATAACAAGTAGGAAATGGCAGGCCATGAAGGGGTCCCATGGAACACACCCCCAAAAAACACCACAGGCTACTGCCAAGGTTATTTGTTGTTCTCTACTGGTAAGGTCCTATTGCTGAAGACAACATTTACTTGCATCATAGAACATGGAGAAGTCCAGCAGGTGCCTAACTAGAAGCTTCACTCCTAATGACTAGTGTTCAGGGTACCAGAAGGTACTATGCATGCCAATGGAGGAGAAAGGTAGGCCATCAATATCACCACTCAGCTACAAACCCTGCCACCGACAACAGTGACCAGCCTGTAAGACATGCTTGATGTGGGAGTGATTTCTTGTTAATAAAGAAACTGCCTAGGCCCATTTGATAGGCCAACCCTTAGGTAGGCGGAGAAAACAGAACAAAATGCTGGGAGAAAGAAGCTGAATCAGAGAGTCACCATGATTCTCCCACTCCAGACAGATGCAGGTTAAGATCTACCCTGGTAAGCCACCTCGTGGTGTTACACAGATTATTAGAAATGGGTTAGATCAATATGTAAGAGCTAGCCAATAAGAGGCTGGAACTAATGGGCCAGGCAGTGTTTAAAAGAATACAGTTTCCGTGTAATTATTTCGGGTAAAGCTAGCCGGGTGGCAGGAAGCGGCCCGCCGCCCCTATTACAGCACATACTAGTGCAACAGTGGTACAAATTCTATGGGAGTGACTTAACCACTTTTTGATTAGGTTTAAGGCCTACCCCATGAAATGGAATCCATACCTGGTACTACTAAAGTGGCCAAGACCCTGAGAGTAGATAGATCATAAATAGGGTAAAAGCTAATGTTATTATTTCACTAAAGAATCAGGAATAAAATGACTCCTAATGACATACTGCAATACCTCACTCAATCAACATCAGAGAAGCTTCTTGCAGAATATGGAAATTAACTCCGAGCCCTACAACTGGACAATGTACAGAAAGCGAGAGACTTTGGAATACTCAGCCTAAATGGGATGTCTTCATCAAACCCCTTCCCTTAAGGCTCAGGGATCTATGAAGAAGAGGAAGCAGAAATATTTAAGAGTCAGAGGTGATGGATGATTCCAAGGAAACAGTGTCTTCTATACACAACAGGACCTTTGCACATATCAGCTCATGCTGTGGCAGGATACACAAGGCCTGCATAGGTTAAAGCTAGATGGGGTTCTATCCCTAACAAAGAAGCTACCTGCAATTGATACCCATTGTCAAAGGGAAGTCAGGTTTCTCCAACAGAGTGTCATCAGGTATATAATATTAACCACACTCTAGGGTAGGCCCTGTGTCCAAGAGTAGTTAACTAACACAAAATTAACTCAGTGGTATTTTTGTGGACTTTTTGTTTCATTTTTCTTCATTTGGGCATTTTTTTGTCTTACTGATTTTTCTTTTTTGTGGTTTTTTTGTTTTGTTTTTTGAATGGGAGAAAGAAAGAAGATGAAGTTGAGTGGTAAGGGAGGTGGGAAGGGTATAGGAGGAGTTGTGGGAGGAGAAAATATGATCAAAATATATTGTATGAAAAAATCTTCAAGAACAAAGTAAAAGAATAAATGGTAGATTATGAGGAGAAACTATAGATAGGCAACTAATATTGTAAGAACATAGAGCACACGTGGAACATCAGGGAAAGACAGATGAGTAATAAGGGAGGCAAAAGACTGAACAGAGCAGAGCAGAAATCAAAGTCCTGAATGAGTGAGAACAATTAAAATGACGATTCTGAGCAGGTCACAGTGGCATACACCTTCCAACACTCAGGAAGCAGAGGTAAGTGGATCTCTATGAGTTTGAGGCTAGCCTCGTAGATATAATGAACTGTTGCAGAACAGCCATGGGTAGAGTGAGAACTTATCTCAAAACAAACAAACAAACAAAAAAAACCCCACATATCCTTAGTTAAGATCCATGGAAGGGCTCTAGGATACAAGTGAATCTTTTAAGCCAGACCTAATAATTACTTATTATGGGGGTGATCCACAATTTTCAGCACATTGCTTCAAAAGAACCATAAATCAAAAATAGGCAGCCAGACATGGTGGCATACACATTTAATCTCAGCACTCGGGAAGTGGAGGCAGATGAATCTCTCTGAGTTCAAGGCCAGCCTGATCTACAAAGTGAGTTGCAGGACAGAAAGGACTTTTACACGAGAAATCTGTCTGCGAGTTTTACATGAGGAAAATATGTCTTGAAACTCCCCACAAAAGCCCACAAACAATAAAATAGACTATAAACCACTAAAATAAAGTCATATGTCAGAAGGTAGTATGATCAGATTTGATTTTAGCAAAATCACTTGGGTACAAATGATGGAGGAAGGTCATTGGTTAAATAAAAAGAAACTGCTTGGTCCTCATTGGTTAGAAGATAGGTGGGAGGAGTAAACAGAACAGAACGCTGGGAGGAAGAGGAAGTGAGCTCAGACTCCACAGCTCTCCTCTCGGGAGCAGACGCCTCAGAGAGAGGCCATGCTCTGCTCTCCCGGGCAGACGCGATTCAGCTCCGACCCAAGATGGACCTAGAATCTTCCCGGTAGGACCGGTGCTCACAGATTATTAGAGATGGGTTGATCAGGATATCAGAATTAGCCAGTAAGGGCTAGAGCTAAAGGGCCAAGCAGTGTTTAAATGAATACAGTTTGTGTGTTGTTATTTCGGGCATAAGCTAGCCGAGCAGGTGGCTGGGGTGTTGGGGACGCAGCCCCGCCGCTCCTATTACTACATACAAATGGTAGGGGAGCTTCTGGAACACGTAGGTAAGTAGATTGTGCTGGCGATCAGATGACACACCAACATGACACCTAAGAAATACATCTCCACAAGAGGTACAGAATTTGGAGTGGTGATGAAAAAAGTGATGAGAAGCCAGGTGTGGGAGACAGAGACAGGTGGATCTCTGTGAGGACAAGGCCACCCTGGTCTACAGAGGGATTCCAGGACAGCCGGGATTGTTACACAGAGAAACCCTGGCTCAAAAAAACAAAAAACAAACAAACAAAAAAACATTAACAACAAAAGAAATACGAGATAGGTATGAATGACATTGTATAGAGGAGAGAATAAAAAATAAGAAGAAAGTCAAACACCAAGTAAATCATTGAGGATAGCTAATATTTGAATCAAAAAAGAATGAGAAAGAATGTCCAAAGAGGGAAGAGAAGAATCCAGAGATAGCCAAGGCATATGCGCAGAGGAGAAAGGAGTTTCTGGAGGAATACTCAACCAATATTTTCAACTGCCTTGTGAGGTCATGCAGAATGCAGAGTGAAGAGCAAGCACTGGAGTGGGCTTTGGGGGTCCACCGTCAGAGAGACGGTTTCATGCTCTGAACGGAACAGGAGTAGGTAGGTTTGTAATAAGCTGATGCCTGCCTCTTCAGTAAGAACGTAAATTCCACAAGCCTATACTTTCTTGATGTTTCATGGAAATAGAGTGATTTTTGATGGAAGAAGTGTTTATGTTTTAGAGACACTGCTATAAGAAGAAACATAGAATGCAAAGCAGCAAGGGGCCATAACAGAGAAGAAAGGCCCTGAGGAATTCAGAGAACATAGGATCTAAAGAAGATACTTCTTAGCAAGATGAGGAGTACCTCCTCCTCTCATGAAAAAGTAATGACCATCTGGGATAACAAAAACCAAACCAAAACAACCAAACAAAAGAACACTGCCAGAGAACTCTAATTTCTATAGTAAATAGGTAATTTGCAGAGGGGAGAAAGAGGAGGACCACAGGGTCTTGTAAAACATGTATGATTTTCATCAGCTAAGGAAAGAAATAAGAGAAAGATCACAAAAAATCAGCTCAGACTTATCTTCATAACCCTAGACTAGTTAGTTGCTGAGGTAGTTTGAATGTAATTGCCCTCCATAATCTCATAGGAAGTGGCAGTATTAAGAGATGTAGCTTTGTTGGAGTGAGTATGGCCTTGTTGGTGGAAGTATGTTATGTGGGGGTGGCCTTTGAGGTTTCCTATGCTCAGGCTACTGTCCAGTGTCTCAGTTGACTTGCTCTTGCCTGCAAGATATAGGACTATCAGCTACTCATCCAGCACCATTCTGCCTGCACATCCCCATGCTCCCCGCCATGAATGACAATAACAGATTGAACCTCTGAAACTAGGAGTAAGCCCCCTCAATTAAACGTTTTCATTATAAGAGTTGCCATGTCATGGTGTCTCTTCACAGCAATAAAAACCCTAACTAAGACAGAAGTCAATAAGCACAGTCAGCAAATGTTTCTGAGTGATGTCATCAGGAGGCCTATGGTAAAACTGGATTGGATGAAATGCAATCATGCTGTCTATTTGTTTTTTATACAACAGCTTGAGGTTATATACAGTTAGCCATCTGAAACCCAGGATAGCTAAAACAATCCTGAACAACAAAAGAACTGCTGGAGGAGTCACCATTCCTGATTTCAAGCAGTACTACAAAGCAACAGTAATAAAAACCACATGGTATTAGCAAAAAAACAAAAAGACATGAAACACGTTGATCAGTGAAATCAAACTTAAGACCCAGACATAAATGCACATGCCTATGGACACCTGATTTTTTTTTGTAAATAAGCCAGAAATATAGACTTGAAAAAAAGAAAGCATCTTCAACAAATGGTGCTGTTCAAACTGGTGTCTGCATGTAGAAGAATGCAATTAGATCCACAATTATCACCCTGCACAAAATTCATGTCCAAGTGCATCAAAGACCTCAACATAAAATCAGACACACTGAACCTGAGAGAAGAAAAAGTGAGGAATAGCCCTGAATACACTGGCACAGGAAACAACTTCCTGAACAGAACACCAATAGCACATAGCACAGGAACTGACATCAACAATTAATAATAAATGGGACCTCATGAAACTGCAAAACTTCTGTAAGGCTAAGGACACCATCACGAGTGGCAGCATAAATAATGGGAAATGATTCTCGCCAACTTCACATCTGACAGAGAACTAATACCCAAAATATAAAAAGAACTCAAGAAACTGAGTATCAAAAAAATAATAATCCAATTAAAAGATGGGAAACAGATTTAAACAGAGAATTTCAATAGAGAATCTCAAATGGCTGAGAATCACTTAAAGAAATGTTCAACATCCTTAGCCATTAGGCAGGGAAATGTAAATAAAAACTACTTTGAGATTCCATCTTAAACCTATTAGAATGGCTAAGATCAATAACACAAGTGGCAGCACAGGTTGTTAAGGATGTGGAACAAGGGGAACACTCCTCCATTGCTGGTAGGCATGCAAACTTGTACAGCCACTATGGAAATCAATATGGCGGTTCCTCAGAAAATTGGGATTCGATCTACCTCAAGACCCAGCTATACCTAACTCTTGGGAATATACCCAAAGGACACTTGTTCAACTATATTATGGCTTTCTTTATTCATAATAGCCAGAAACCGGAACCAACCTATATGTTCCTCAACAAAAGAATGTATAAACAAAATGTGCTACATTTACAAAATGGACCATTATTACTTAGCTGTTAAAAAATGATACCATGAAATTTGCAAATGGATGAAACTAGAAAAAAATCATCCTGAGTGAGATAACCCAGACCCAGAAAGACAAATATGATACATATTCACTTATAAGTGGATATTAGCTGCTAAGTAAATGATAATCAAGCTACAATCCGTAGTCCCAGAGAGGTTAGTATGGGGGAGGCATCTAGGCAGAACACATGGATCTCCTTGGGAAAGGGAAATAGAATAGATTTTGCAGGTGAGCTGGCAGCAGGTGGGGAAGGGAGTGGGAAGGATCAGGTGCTGGTGAGAGATGGCTAGAGTTTGGGAGCAGCTGGAGTGTCCTGTGGAAATCTAGTGTAGTGGAAACTTCCAGAATCTTAGTGATTCTAGTGAGAATTCTAGCAATAGAGGATATGGAATCTTAACTAGCTATCTCTTGTAGCTAGGCAAGGCTTCCAATGGTTGGACTGGGTTCCATTTGATTGAGTTGTTGGCTAAATGGGTGCCTTGGAGATCCCTAAACAACACAGTAAAATTCAAGGACAGAGGGTTGCTCTCTGCAAACTGACAGCAGGGCCCCATTGCCAAGGACAATATCCACACAGCTCACTGAACACATAGAAGTCAAGCTGGTGCCTGCATGGAGCCCTTACTCCTATGTCCCAGTCTCTTTGATGCAGGAAGGTACTCTGTAGGCTACCAAAGAGAAATGTGGACAACAACCCAGACACAAAACCTTTGACCTACAATCTATCCTGCTTGCATAATATGCTAATGTCTTGTTTAACTTGAGGCCCACTCCATGAGCAGGAACCCACAAAAAATACTGCTTGGATGGCCAGGAACAGGAAATTGGATAGCCCAGAGACCTAGGCTAGAACCCATCATGATTAATCTAAAAAATTAATAAAATAATTCCTAATAATAGTCTGTTATACTCATAGATCATTGCCTTGTCTGACCGTCAGAGAGGTTTCCTCCAGCAGCAGAAGGGAGTGGATGCAGAGACCTACAGCCAGACATTATGCAGGGCCAGAGTCTAAATTGGAGGTCTTCACTAGGTCCCTTCCTTTAAAGCTTGGGGAATCCCATGGTGGGGAGGGGGTTATGCAGCAGAATGACTGTAGGAGTCAGAGGGGATAGAAGATACCAGGAGAACACTGCCCACTAAATCAACTAAGCAGGGCTCATATAGGCTTACAGAAACTGCAGTACCAAGCACAGGGCTTGCACGAGCCAGTACCAAGTTCTCTGTTTATGTTACGGCTGTTAGCTTGGTGTTTTTGTAGGACTCCTCACTAGGGGAGTGGGCATGTCTCTGACTCTTGCCTGCTCTTAGGGCTCTTCCTCCTGTTAGGTAGCCTTGTCTGGCTTTGGTGTGAGGATTTTTGCCTTGTTTTATTGTATTTTATTTTGTTGTGTTTGGTTGTTGCTCCTCGAGGCCTGCTCCTTTTTGATGGGAGTTGGAGGGGTTGTCAATCCAGGGTAAAAGGGAGGTAGGGGCAGATGGAATGAGTGGAGGGAGGGGAAATTGTGGTCAGGATGTACTGCATGAAAGAACAATCTATTTTTATTTAAAAAAAAGAATAAGAAAATTTCCAGCTAAAAAAACTACAAACTACTATAAATAAATTAGCTTACTTGAAAGATGAGCATCAATAATCATAGAAGATGAAGTTGATGACTGTTCATTAATTCCATCAATTTGAACTAGGGATGCATTTTTAATGTTATTTTCTTCTATCTTCAAGTTATTCTTATGTAGCAAACCTTCAATATTGGTAACTTTACAGCTAATACCACAGCCTGGTACAACCTGGAAATCTGTGCAGGTACCCAAAGTTTCAGTGTTCAGCTCCTAACAAAAACAAAATACAATAAATAAGTAAACAAATAAATAAATGGTATAATAACTTTTAATTAGAAGAATAGCGATGGTAAGTGTATGAGAAGACAGGCACTCAAAACTCTGGGTGCAGGTACAAACTGATGTTAGTAATAGCCATGAAAAATGAAACTTTAAGCACTCTTTGATCTAGAAATTGCACTGACAGATTTTATTGGGGTGGGGGTTGAGACAGGGTTTCTTTGTGTAGCGCTTGCTGTCCTGGAACGAGCTCAGTAGATCAGACTGGCCTGGAAATCACAAAAATCCATCTGTCTGCCTCCCCAGTGCTGGGATTAAAGGTGTGTGCCATAACTGTCCGACTAATACATATTACTTATATTTTGATGTTTTATATCAAAGAGGGGTTCATTTCTTTTGTTATGTTTACAGTTGTCTATGTGTAAAAACTAGGGCATAATCAATAATGTTTGAGACAAAGTCTTATACAGTCTACGCTAGTCTCAAACTTACCAGTAATGAAGATGACCTTGAACTTCTGACCTCTTGCCTCTACCTCCTAAATTCTCAGATTAAAATCATGAGCCAACATGCTCACTTTATAGGTGCTGGGGATCAAACCCTGGACCTCAAGCATCTAGGCAAGCACTGTACCAGCTGAGCTATATTCCAGCCCCAACATATTCAATTAAATAAGAAAATACAATTCTCTTTATCCCCATACTCAATATATACAAAAATTATAGTCAAAAGCCAGTCCAGATTTGGTCTGCATCATTTCTATATGAGATACCAACATGAATATGAAATATAAAATTGTACCTGCTTGCAGTACTTGGTTACAGCTGCTCCTAAAGGGTGTTCGCTGTTACTTTCCGCAGTGCCCACAATGGCCAGGATCTTATTGCGTGGTATTCTGTTACTTTCCACTAGAACCTTTACTTGATTCACTACTGGGGTTCCATGGGTAATAGTTCCAGTCTTATCAAATACCACTACCTTTACCTGGAGAAAAGTTAAAAATACAATGCATCCACATGACATCATCCTCCCAGGAATGAGAAACAGGTTTATTTTTTTGTTTTTTTTTAAATATTTATTTATTATGTATACAATATTCTGTCTGTGTGTATGCCTGCAGGCCAGAAGAGGGCACTAGACCTCATTACAGATGGTTGTGAGCCACCATGTGGTTGCTGGGAACTGAACTCAGGACCCCTGGAAGAGCAGGCAATGCTCTTAACCTCTGAGCCATCTCTCCAGCCCCCAGGTTTATTTTTTTTAACAGACTGCTACTTCATTTCTTAATAAACTGTCCTTTGGCTTCATAACTTCATCAACTGATCATCTTTGCGTGAACACACTAAGTTGGTCTTGTAGCAACCAACTTCCCTACCCAACAGTTCAGTTTTAATCTTGTTAAATATCTGTGAATTTATGTCAAACAATTAGAGCTATGGGTTGCTGTTGATGGGTAAGAAATACCACTGGCATCTCTGGGGAAAACACAAGGGCTTTCGATACTAATGAATTATAGTTCTATTAGAGAAATCTGGGTAAACAGCAGATGACTAACAGAAAATGTAAACGTTAGGGTGAAGGTAACCCAGCTGGGTTGCTTGCCTTGACTAGGTTTTGGTTAAGAACTTGGGATGTTAAGAGGAAGCTCAGGGAAGCAGTTTGAGAAAGTTAGACCACATAGGAAAAGGGAAGAATTTGGAGAGCAGGCTCACTTCATTATAAACTCAGAATGAGAACCTTGAAGACTGAGCAGCCCAATGAACTGATTTAAAAAGATAAGAATAATATTCAAAGCATCATCCTAAACAAGAGAAAAATTGCGATAATGGTCATCATAGAAACAACAGGAAAAAAGAACATGAAATTACAGATTAGACAGTAGCATTGTCAATATTCCTTTCTTGATTTTGATAAATGCACTGTGCTCACATAAGGAAATGTCCTTGTTCTTCAGATAGGTGCACAACAGTTGCAAAAAGGGAACCCTGATGTTTAGGTTTGAAATTATGCCAATTTATTTCCATAAATATTACAAGCCTGGGAACTGGAGAGGTAACTCAGTGGTTAAAAGCACTTGTGTTCTTGCAGAGGGCCCCAGTTCAGTTCCCAGCACCCATGCTGGGCAGCTCACAACAACCTGTAACTCTAGTTCTAGGGGATCTGACCTTCTGGCCCCACGGGTACCCATACACATGAATAAAAATAAAAACTAATCTTTTAAAAGTTCCTCAGGGTTGAAGAGAGGGCTCAATGGTTAAAAGTACTGGCTGCTCTTCCAGAGGACCCAGGTTTGGTTCCAAACACCCACATGGCAGCTCACAACTGTTTAATACTTCAGTCCTAGGGGGATCCAGCACCATCTTCTAACCTCTGCATGCATGTGGTATATGAACACAATGCAGGTAATACACCCATAAGTATTTTAAAATGTTCCAATATATAATACATATGTGTGTGTGTTAGCTATTCAAGGTTTCAGATTTATTCTTAGCCATGTACTATGTATCCATGTATCTATATATGTTTTATATCACTGAAATAAGATTGTATTAGTGAGAGCACATCTTTAATTGAAGTCATAACTGCAAACTGCCAGCTGGTGGCAGAAAAGGCACTGCCATTGCAGGTGCAGCACCCATAAGGTGGAGTCAGATACAAATAGGTCAGAACCCTGGCAAATTTTCCCAGACAAGTACTGAAGACGGGTGTAATCTGAGATGGGTTTGAACTACAGGTTCTCCATTCGAGTATGCTGTGAGGAAATGGCTGAGGGAGTATTAGTAGAGATCTTAAATAACTAAGGCCAATCTGAAGAAGAACCAACATCACAGCTTTTGTACTTCAACCCTCAGGGTAATCCCAGAAGAGCTCAGCCTAGGAACCACATGCAAAGAACTAAGGCTGCGAGTGTAAATTTGGATAGTGCAATTCTTAGTTCTGGAGACTCTTACCTTATGAGCCATCTCCAGGGGCTCCCCACCTTTGATAAGTATCCCATTCTGAGCACCTACTCCTGTGCCCACCATTACAGCAGTTGGAGTAGCTAGTCCCAGTGAGCAGGGACATGCGATACACAGAACTGTGATAGAGGCTTGGAAAGCAAAGCGTATTATGGTTTCTGTTCGTGAGATGCTCCTATTGTAGCCCTTTAGAAGAAGACATGAAATTTGGTTATTCATTTACAGTTAGAGCTGTGAAAATAAAAGAAACAAAGCTCAACCCTGTTTAAATAAAAACAGTGTCAAAATCACACATCCTACCTAGCTGCCAATATATATTTTTCTTATTAATAATGAACACCTTTTTCATTTATAAACATGAAAACTGTTTAACAAGTCATAGTCTTGAACTCATAATTTAATTCCAGAGTTACTAACTATGGAGAAAAATAAGGAACACAGAACTCCACAATTTTTTCCATTTCTAGAAGCAACATTAATTAGCAACATAATTCTCAACAAATTTGGCCTTGAACAAATTCTGACTCTCTGATACTGAGGTCATAGTTTGGACGTTAATACAAAATTTTAAAGACAATAACTTAAATATTCATTTTAGGGAACAAAGGTTGGAGCCAGCAAGAGAGCTCAGCAGACAAAAGTGCTTGCTATGCAGGCTTCACAACTTCAGTCCAATTCCAAGAAATTCGAGGGGAAACAAGCTCTTCAAAGCTGTTTTCTATCCTCCTAGACACAGGGGCACACATGTTCCAACATTCACATACCCCCCCCCACACACACACACAGAGTAAGTGAAATAAAGATTAAAAATGTTTAAGGAGGCTGATGAGATGGCTTAGTGGTTAGGAGCACTTACTACTCTTGAAGAAGACCCAATTCAGTTCCCAGTACCTATATGTGGTAACTTACAACTGCCTCTAACTCCAGCTTCAAGGGCTTTGACCACTCTTTTGGTCTCCATGGCCACTTGCAATCACATGCATGTTTCCACACACAGACACATACATTTATGCATAATAAAAGGTAAGTCTTTAAAAATATTTTAAAAGAGAAAGTTAGAAGGTATTTTTATAAATATCTAGCCTTAGACTTTCATATACACCAAATATGAATGTTTTCACATATATTGTGTACTCTCACATATGTGACTCCAAATCTTTTTTGTTTGTTTGTTTGTTTGTTTGTTTGTTTTTCGAGACAGGGTTTCTCTGTAGCTTTGGAGTCTGTCCTGGAACTAGCTCTTGTAGACCAGGATGGTCTCGAACTCACAGAGATCAGCCTGCCTCTGCCTATCTAGTGCTGGGATTAAAGGCATGCGCCACCACTGCCTGGCCAAATCTTTTAATTTAGGCATTATTATTCCTACTTTGCAACTGACAAAAACAGAAGTTTATATATCTAAAGTGAGGGATCACTTTATCTACAGCCACCAAAATGAAATTCAATCCCTTTATGACTTCAGGACAGACCAACAATGGCAAATGGCATCTCAACACATCTTTTCTCACATTTGGAGGAACATCAGGGTTTTTCCCTCTTTCCAAAAAGCTGAGACAGAAGTATAATGTTCTGTCTATGCCCATTCAAAAGGATGACAAAGTTTGTGCTCTGAGGATACTATAAAGCCCATCAGACTGGCCAAGCAGTCCAGGTGTACAGGAAGAAATATGTCATCTACAATGAATGAGTGCAGTGAGAAAAGGCTAATGACACAACTGGTCATCCACGTGGGCACACACCTCAGTAAAGTGGTTATCACCAGGCTAAAGCTGGACAAAGAGTATATAAAAAAAAATCCTGGGAAAGGAGGGCCAAGTCTCGACAAGTAAGAAAGGAGAAAGGAAGAAGCCACTGAGAAGATACAGTAGAGGAATCTCATGTACAACTTTCATTAAAGACTGCCTAAGTAAAATAAATAAAGTGAGGTACACCACAGATCTACTTTCCTACGTTACAGAGCAGTGCTTTAGAAAGCATCAGATAACTTGCTGAGTAGGCACTAACACCATGGTTTCACTCAGCTGCCTTATTCTCTGGGGACTGGAGTAGTTAAGAGTGCTGGCTGAGCCACACTGAACCTCATAGAAGAGAAAGTGGGAAGTTCACTTGAACACATCAGCATAAAAGACTACTTCCTAACTATAACCCAGCAGCACAGACACTAAGAGAAACAATAAGTGGGACCTCCTGAAACTGAAAAGCTTCTGTAAAGCAAAGGACATGGTCAACAAGACAAAACAACAGCCTACAAAATGGGAAAAAGATCTTCACTAGCCCCACTTCATACAGAGGCCTGACCTCCAAAATATACAAAGAACTCAAGAAATTGGTCATCAAAAGAACCATAATTCAATAAAAAAAAATGGAGTGCAGACCTAAACAGAGAACTCTCAACAGAGGAATCTAAAATGGCTGAAAGACACTTAAGGAAATGTTCAACATCCTTAGTCTTCAGAAAAATGCAAATCAAAACAACTCTGAGACTCCATCTTACACCTGTAAGAATGGCCAAGATAAAAAACACTGATGACAACTTACACTGGAGAGGTTGTGGGGTAAAGGGAACACTTCTGCATTGTTGGTGGAATGCAAGCTGTTACAGTCCCTTTGGATGTCAGTGTGGCGATTTCTCAGAAAATTAGGAAACAACCTTCCTCAAGACCCAGCAATACCACTTTTGGGTATATACCCAAAGGATGCTCAATCGTACCACAATAACATGTGCTCAACTATGTTCATAGCTGCATTGTTTATCATAGCCAGAACCTGTAAACAACCTAAATGCCTCTCGACTGAAGAATGGATAAGGAAAATGTGGTACATTTACACAATGGAGTACTACACAGCAGAAAAAATAACGACATCTTGAAATTTGCAGGCAAATGGATGTAGCTAGAAAACATCATACTGAGTGAGGTAATCCGTAATCCAGACCCAGAAAGACAATTATCACATGTCCTCCCTCATAAGTAGTTTTTAAATATAAAGCAAAAAAAAAAACCCAGCCTACAAATCACAATCCCAGAGAACCTAAACAACAATGAGGACCCTCAAAGAGACATCCATGGATCTAATCTACATGGGAAGTAGAAAAATACAAGATCTCCTGAGTAAAAATTGGAAGCATAGGGACCATGGGAGAGGGTTTAAGGGGAGGGGAGAGGTAGGGAGAGAAGAAGAGAAAAATGTACAGCTCAATGAAATAAAATCCTAATTAAAATTATTTGAGAGGAAATAATAATAAAAATAGACCTGTGCCAGCAAGGCAAAAAAAAAACCCTCCTACTACCTTTTTGATAATTATATGTATAAAATGACTTAAATGAAGAAGCTAATGCAATTCACTTTCTTTATTAACTTCTCTTTGCTGTTCAAAATATATTTTTATGAGTGCTTGTTCAGTTAAAAAAAAGAGTGCTGGCTGTTCTTCAAAAGGCCCTATGTTCAAGTCACTGCACCCACATGTTGACTCAGACTCCCAGCACACACATAGTGGCTCACAGCCATCTATAAGTACAGTTCCAGTGATTCAACACCCTCTTCTGGCTTCCACAGGCACTGATCACACACATGGTCTATAGACATATACACAGGCAAAAAACTTAGTTAATTAATTAAAATACATTATCTTAGGTGAGTGAGATAGTATACACCTGTAATATCAACACTGGGAGGTGGGGGCAGGAGAAGCAGGAGTTCAAGGTTATCCCTGGTATCACAAGTTCAAGGCCTTGAGACTCTGTGTCATATACACACAAATGTATGTTATTTTACTTAACCTTCACAATCTACCCAAAATGAGCATTATAAAATGTCACTACCAGCTAGGTATGTTGGCTTACACTTTTAGTTCCAGCACTGAGGACATAGAGACAGGCCGAAGTTCAAGGCTAGCTGGTCTACACAGAGAAATTCAAACCAGTCAAGGGCTACAAGATTGAGAGCCTGTCCCAAAAAATGCTAAACACACACACACACACACACACACACACACACACAAAATTCTAATAAGCACACTGAAGATTTATTCTGTCCTACGTGAACAGCATACCCACATTATATAAATAGTATCTGCCATTGGCAAACCTACTAGCTGTCTCCTGGTTATTGAATAGTTACTGAAACACTATAGCACTTGTGTAGAACCTGTTTTATTAAATTGGGTTCCCAAAGTGTAAAAGTGTCATGATGGCAATTCAGCTATGACAGAGAGATGACATACATGCTGCTTCTAAGGAAAAGGAAGAAAGTTCTTGATTACACAGATAGAAAAAAATATGCTAAGCTTACTAAGATCTACAATAACAACAAATCTTTTATTCACAACAATGTAAAGGACAAAACGGAAAATTGTCCTGGTTTTGCTGTCATACCTCAAAACTACACAGGTCATGACAACGCTTAGCTAAGAAAAAGCATTCAATCTGTATTTAAGTGTTTATATAGGGGGCCAATGGTGGCACAAACAATGTTAGGTAGTAGCGGTGGTTTCTGACCTCCACTGGGGCTCTTAAAATAAATTCCCAAAGTACAAGGAGTGACTGTTACACTGGGAATTTCTTCTTTAGGTTTGTATTTTCTTTTCCATTCTCTTCTTCATTTCTTTTTCTTTCTTCCTTTCTTCCCTTCTTCCCTCCCTCCTTGCTTTTAATACTGAGGATAAACTCAGGGCTTAACAAATGCTGGGCAGAATTCTACACCTACACTCTCAGCCAATACTGCTCATTTCCAAAGTTTGTGTGTTTGTTTTGAGACAAGTTTTCATTGTTCATACCTGACTGGGTTGGTACTCACAGAGATCTACCCAACCCTGCCTCCTGAATACTAAGATTTAAGGCATGCACCATTACACCTGGCTCAAAAATCATTTTTTTTATTTTTCTTATGTATCTGTATCTGTGTCTGGTTATGTGAGGATGAGTGCAGGTATTTTCAGAAGCCAGAGGCCTCACATTCTGCTGTAGCTGGAGTTACAGATGGGTGTGATTTGCTCAACATAGCTGCTGGGAATATAACTTGGGCCTTCTGCAAGAGCAGTATTTACCACTAAGCCATTTCTCCAGCTTCTCAAAATTATTTTTAATTAACTCTACAAAAGATTCACAAAGTGTTTTGTACGTAGTCAAGAGTTGTTGCAAGTCACTTACGGGAAAGTAGGTTTCCACAATTTCAAAATTTTGAAATCCAATTATAATCCATACCAAGAGGGTAGCAATGGAAATCAAGACGATAAAAGGAACAAAGTAGCCACTGAGTTGGTCTGCAAACTGCTGGATAGGGGCCTAGAATTCAGAATAATAATAATAAGTATCTTGAAGTCTTTTTTCTAATACTGAATACAGGATAGATTTGGGAGTTAACATAAACAGAAATATTTTAATAAATTCCACATGAATATAACTAGGTCAAAAGAAAATACACATCAAGATTCATACTAGAAAGCTTTAAAGAAAACACCTTCTGCTTCTCCTAAGGACTAGGTTACCTTTGATGTTTGTGCCTCCTCTACAAGTTTGACAATCTGAGAAAGGGTTGTGTCTGCTCCAACATGGGTAGCTTGGATAAGGAGGGATCCATTCTGGTTAATGGAACCTGCGATCACCGTGCTGCCAGGTTTCTTAGCCACAGGCATTGCCTCCCCTGAAGGAAGAAAAAAATCAGAGAACAAAAATGATTACTATCCTTGAAAGACGCTTGTTCATTCACTGTCAACAAACACCTAGAAAACACATTCCTCTAGAACTAGAATCTGGACACTTGCAAAGGTAAAAGTCATCCTTCCTTCTTCCTCATGTCAGTTTTAGGTCAAACATAGGTATATAGACTTTGAACTGGAAAGGCTGACCATGTTAGCACTTGTTGACAAATACTTTAGGCGCTTCATTCTACTGCTAGATCAGAAGTTCTCAAAGGGCATTTCAAAATGTGGGAGCATGTTGTTCTCTGTAACAGCGGATGGGAGTAGGGTGCTGCTACTACTGCTTAGTAGGCCAGGGTTAGTGTCACTAAATTATGGTACATAGCCTAAGATATAGAATTAAAACTTCTCATCCAAACTGCAATAGCATACCACTGTGAAACAGAGTCAGGAATTAATAAACTCAGCCTCTGCTAGGACTACCAGATGCAGGAGAGCTGTTATTTTGATTCAGATCCACACTGGACTCTGTTGGCCAAGATTTCTAAACATCTTCACAGTCCTGCTTTCTTCAAGCTGCCCTGATGTGGAAAACTTAGGGCTCTGGCCTACCTGTGACTACATCAGCTGCTAAGGCATGAAAACAGAATATTTATCTGCCCTGGGAAATTTGCCCAAATCAACCTGGTTCTACAAGACACTGAATAACTTTATCCTTGTGCACTATAGTTCTTAGGAATCTTCAGTGTGGGTGATAGAATGATGGCTCAGCAGTCCAATTACCAGCAAACTGAATACTCTTATGAATAAAATAAAAATCAATACATCTTTAAAAAAAAGAATCTTCAAATTATTTTTAAAATATCAATTTAGATAAATTATACTACTTGCAATTGCAAAATATCATATTCTTTTTTCCTTTAAATTGTATTTTGCCTAGCACATAAATAAATGGGTTTAGTTGTGCTATTTTCATTATATTTTGTTTTTATTCTACCCACTGATTTCTCACATCCCCTTAAATCTGGGTATTGACATTTTTTTTAGTTTCCTATTCCCAGGCAGTTGGTTAATTTCCTAGCTAAGAAGCACAATAATTTTCTTCTTTTGTTTCTCCTGCCTCTGCTACCCAAGTGTTGGAATTATGAGCCTATCTCTGATGACAGGCTCATAATTATTTTTAAAATTGATATTTTAAAAACAATTTTAAGTCTTCTGTTTGCCTTGTAAATGATAAAATCACCATTTGTACAACTATTAAGATCCCATTGTGATAATGGTTGAAATGGTGTTAAATTTATAGATCAATTTGAAGATGACTGTTGTATTTTTGTATAGAAACTACAAATCAATAATACTACCTATTTCTCTACTTTTTAAAAAAAATCAGTTTTGTTTATTGAGATTAGACTTTCTCTGTTGCCAAGGCTAGCTTCCAACTTCTGGGGTCACATGATCTTTCTGCTTTTATGTCTTAAGTGTCTGGAATAATAGGGATATACTACAGCAGAATGCTTGCTTATATAGTTTTTAAATTTCTTTCATTAGTGTTTTGCAATTTTCAAATGCACAATATTTATATTCTGTTTGTAAATTCATGTCCATTCATTTTTAAGCCATCATAATTGTATCACTTCAACGCCTTGCCATTTTAAGTTTTGAAAATTTAAAAAAAAAACTTCAATGTTTAGTTTTCAACAATGTACCTAAAAATATAGTAAACCTGAGGAAATTGAAGGCATTCTTTAAAGAACTCATATTCTTTGCTCATGATTTATACATGTATTGGTTCTGCTTTAGTGTCTGCTTTTCATGATCACTTTGGATTCACATTGTTTTCATGCCATGATCCTCTGACAGAACGTACCTGTGATGAGGGACTCATCTACCATAGAATGTCCTTCAATAACACGGCTATCCACTGGAAATTTGCCTCCTGGAACCACCTTAATTATATCTCCACGCTGTACAAGTTCCACATCTACTTGTTCTTCACTGCATACAAATTAAAACAAAAAGCGTCATGGCATCTGTTTCTTGGTCTAACTGCCACACATACAATTTGGAGATCAGCGAAGCTTATAGCTCCATAATTACTATCAACAGAACCTAGAACCAATATTTATACTAGCAATAACTATCTGTATTAGTTTTGCTCACTGGTACTAATGAACAAAGTCTTGGCTCAAAGCAGACATTCTAAATATTTATTCTATAGTCATTGAATAAGTAATCTAGCTTTTGGGAAGTGAAGGCAGGAGGATTTATGAGTTCAAAGTCATCCTGGGCTATATACAGTAAGTTCAAGAGCAGTCTGTGTTAGTTGAGACCCTCAGTAGTTATACATAACTGCCGTCAGGTATCTTATGTTTCTTTTTAAATAGAACAGCTCCTTCATTCCTTATTTACTTACTTCCTCCTTCAATCAAAGGAGGAATTACTAAGAGAAAAAAAATAAAGTAAGTACTCAGTAGCAGAGCACTTACTTGGCATACTAAATGACCTCATGCTGTTTCCTAATACCAGAAAAAATCCTGGAGCCAGAGCCACAAAGCAAGACCTTAGATCAAAATATAGGGATGCTAAGAGATTGGCCTAAGTACTCTCAAAGCTATGATCAGGGGGATGAAGATGTGGCTCAGTGGTTAAGAGCACTGGCTGTTCTTCCAGAGGACCTGGGTTCAATTCCCAGCACCCACATGGCAGCTCACAACTGTCTGTAACTTCAGTTCCAGGGAACCTGACACCTTCATACAGACATACATGCAGGCAAAACACCAATGCACTTAAAAATAAATAAATCCTAAAAGAAAAAAATAGGCCATGTGGTGGTTGTGCATGCCTTTAATCCCAGCACTTGGGAGGCAGAGGCAGATAGAGCTCTGTGAATTCAAGGCCAGCCTGGTCTACAGAGTAAGTTCTAGGACAGCCCAGACCGTTTTACAGAGAAAACCTGTCTCAGCAAAACAAAAAAACAAAAAACAAAAAAGAAGAAGACATGATTCCCCCTGTTCTCCCTGCTTCATCTTCCAGAATGTTGGGATTACAGGTATATACCAACACACATTGCCTGAATATGTCCTTTTATAAAGAAATAGTGTAGAAAATTTACCACTAAAACTACATCAGTGGGATTTATTTCCTATTGCGACTACAGAAAGAAAGTTGAAACAGCCAGAAGTAAAGTATAATAAAATGGGGGAAAAAATAAAATGGGGATAACTGCTAAATCTAAGAGGTAGATTATGTGGGGTTATAACATTCCTTACTTCTGGATACAGCTCAAAATACAGTAGGCTAGCTCAGCAGGTAAGAGTGCTTGCTGCCAAGCCTAACAACCAGAGTGCTATCCCTAGGGTCCACATGGAAGGAGGAAACTCCCACAAGCTGTTCTCTGACTTCCACACATGTGCCATGGCATGTGTGTACTCACCACAGTAAAATTAATGAATAAAATGTTTAAAACAATTTACAAAAGGAAATGAAGATAAATACCTCAGGAGGAGATTTTCAGAGTTAAGAGTTACAATAGTTGCTTCTGTTGCTTGTAGTGAAATTAGCTTTGCAAGAGCTTCTGAGGTTTTGCCCTATAAGTTAAAACACAATAATGATACTAAGAAAGAAAATGCTCAAACCATAAAGTTATAATCTTTAACATTCATTCAAACATCAGCTTAAGAAAACATTTGATCAGAAAAAAGTTTACACTGGAATATGAATATCTTACAAAAAGCATTTAAAAAGTACTAACTATATTTTATGAAGAAATACAATTATTAGAAAAATATTAGGAATCTAATTCATACATGAGCAAAAGATCCTTCAAGAGGGAATATACTCAATATAGGGGGAATGTTTAGTCAGAAACACAAACTAAAGCCACCTTATAATTAACATCTAGTATCTTAGAAGGACTTAGATAAGATGCAATGCTGAGGATGCTGTGGTCAAAACCACTGTGCTGACAAACTCTCTCTGGCAAAATATCCCACAGCTTATAGCATGAGACCATGAAAAAGATATATGCCCTTTAATACCTCAATCATACCCTTTTTTTACTCCTAAGATAATCAGCTCAGAAGAGATGACTATTAGACATGAATATGTTCAGTGTAGGATTATCTAAAACAAAAATTTAAGGAAAAAACGTAATTGAAAAGAAAACTAGAATGGTTTAGTAAATGAGAGCACAGTGACTTGACAGAAATAGAAAGTGATTGCCTAGACTGTAGTCAGGGAAAAAGCGTACAGTGCTTTATATTCTACTAAACATAAAGTTCCAGGGAACAGGGTTAAAACTGACTTTTATCTCAGCATGGGAGCACAGATAGACTTTGACATCAGTTTAAGCCACATGACCAAATCAATTCTCAGTTAATAATCTGATATGATATATAAGTACTTCTCAAATGTCTCTCATAAAGTACTATGGGTATACTATTCTTGGCAGTAATATAAATTTGATATGTTTCCTGAAGATACTGATAAAACAAAAATCATTAACTGTATAAGTCAATACATATTTCTAATAAGCTGTCTAGACAATATTAAGGTCTTTGACTGATCCAATATTTTCACAAATGACAGCTTCCTTACTTTACCTTTGCTATATGTTCCAACCACCGACCTAGGGCAATAAACACAAACAGCATAGGAGGCGTATCAAAGAAGGTAATAGGGTTCACTTCAGCTCTCTCATACATTGCGACTAGAAGAATAACCAGAGAGTAGGCAAATGCGATGGTAGTTGCCAGCACAATCAACACATCCATATTTGCTGTCTTATGCTTCAGCGCTTTGTAAGCCTGAATGTAGAAGTACCAGCCTCCACAAAACTGTAATAGAAGAGTGATTTCCTTAGACACTGAAAGACATATGTATACCTAAATAAACTTAGCATAAAGCATCAATGTTTACATCCTTTGCCTTTCAACTAATCCATAAACACTAGGAGAATTTTTTTGTTTGTTGTTATAGAGCCTCACAGGTATCTCAGGTTGGCCTGGAACTTGACAAGAACTTCCTTGTCTGTTTCCCAACTCCTAGGATTATAGGCAGGTACCACCACACCTGGCTGTAAAGGGGAAATTTTGAGCTGGAGCAAGTTTGCATTTTAGCAGAGTTATGTGCAAACGAAGAGCTTCAAATTGCTGTGCAAGACACTAGGAACATCCTCTACAGACCAGAGGCTACTTCCTCCCATAAGGAAAGACAAATAGCTATTGAATTTACTTTCTGAGGCTAAACAAGTAAACTAGGAAACAAATTTATAGACTTTGGAGATGGCTTTTGTAAATATATAACACTTAGCCCCTTTCCAAAAGTCAATCACAAGCCGTGGGTTCTGCTGGGAAGTATAACAGGAGAGCTTGTCTTTCATTAGTGCAATTGGTATTAATTAGTTGCTAGCACTATTGCCTTTTGTTTTGCTTTGGGGTTTTTGGTGGTGCTGAGATTGAACCTGGGGTTCTTTGTAATCTACCACTGAACTACACCCCATCCCTCACTTTTAAACCTTTAATGGGGATCAAATAAAGAGAAAGAACTTATTAAATGGTAGTATAACTTTTTATAGTAAAAATTTATCTCAAAATATGAGTAGAAAAGTATAAAAAGCAAATAACTAAAGAGTCAGAAAGAACTATAAAGTTATATATGACAGCAGACAGGAATATCCAGTTTTTAAAAATCAAACATTTTCTCCACTTTATTATGAAATAATATCCTCAGGGATTAAATGGAGTATATTAGCTATCTTAATTATTTTAAAGTACCCAGCATAAAATGATCAACTTCTGGCCATGATATATTTAACCACAGATAATAACAGTGCCTACCACATTTTGGTTTTTTTTTTTCTTTATCAACAAATATACTTGCTAATGTCACTTACCTGTACAGGTAGACACAATAAAAGAGACAGCAAATTCATAATGGACAGTCCTGGCAGGATCTGATGCTCCAGGAACATAGGGGAATGGATCCTTTCTTCATTACTCATATTCTGATTATGGTGAAAAGTTGCAGGGTGGTGATCCACAACCATCATATATATCATCAGCCCCATTACAGGGATACAGAAAAACAGGCTCACAAGGAACGACCTTTTCCATCTTATATGGGAAACATTTAAAGAAAAAATGCACATTTTGGTGAGTACCTAAAAGTTAAATATTCTATGTACTACAGAGAAACCCAGATTGTAACCATCTCACCCAGTGTAAGAATGGTATCATGGGGCTGCAGAAACAGCTCAGCAGTTAAGAGCTCCTATTGCTCTTGCAGAGGACCAAAATTCAGTTTCCAGTACCCAAGTCAGCTCACGAGCACCTGTAATTCCTGTACCAACAGGCCCCATGCCCTCTTCTGGCCTCTGCACAGAATCCTGCATACATGTGGTGTACATTCACACATATACATATTTTTTAAAAAAAGTAAATCTTAAAAAATGCTATAGCAAAACTGACATGCTAACAGGATGTCAAATTTCTAAAAGAAGTTGAAATGCTTTGTATTAACAATTCCAAAGTACTTACTGTTTTATTTCTCGTTTATGATCTAAGTGACTGGCTGACCGATCTTTCTTGACCAAAGAAGCTTCAAAACCTAAGCTCTAAGGAAATTCATAAGAAAAATGTCATTTCACTCAATGCAGAGATACTCTAAGCCATGCTGTTACCACTTAGAACAATTCAGTTCAATTCCTGAGTAAAAGTCATTCTGGGGAACAGAAATATAAAGCTGTCCAGAGCTTCCTGCCCGTGAGTACTTTGGTTTCTAAATTAATAGCTCATTGATTTTAGCTACTGTCTATTCTGCTCCTCCCAGACTAGCAATTTCACTCAAGTGCAATAGAGGTTTGCACAGGCAGTGCAAGAAAAGCTAGCACTACATTACATACATTGACCAAGGCCTTGCCTACATAGTTTTCATTCTTGTTTCATCATAAAAAGAACATGAATAAAAATCATTTTCCCCAATGCAACTAGTATAAAAAGAGAACTACACCCAAGACGCACACACAGACAGTTATAGACACCACATTTTCAATTGCTAGGGAGACAGCTGCCATCTTTTAGCTGTTAACAGTGTAACACGTTAAAAAAGAGCAAATGAGTCTGGGGGCAGAGTGATCAGGATCAAGTTGATGGGATTCAACAAGTAAGTTCTCAAGTTGTTTCACTTCTGAAATAAGATGGTAGCCCTGCTGTGAGAATCCAGAACTGAAGCTTGGTAGCACTATTGAATACCTTCTGAGAGTGGCTAGGGTAGGAAATCAGTAATGCCTGCTTCACAGGTGTCAATGGTATTGCTGCCTAAATGAATAGGGTGTTAACTGAAGTATAATATGCTTTCAATCATCAGAACACCAACTTCGTAGCACGCTAAAACTTTGCATTATACACACACACACACATATGCTTAAGACATACTGAAGAACACAAGATGAATTTAGTACAAATAAAAGGGTTTGGCAGTTGAACTTTAACTTGAAAGTGTCTTTGTTTTATTTTGTTTTGTTTTGCTTTAACAACAAATCATAACACATCTAGCATATGCTCTAATTTCATTGTGATTAAGTCTTCCTTATATTATAACATACTTTATGTCCATTTCCTAAATACTTTGATAGTTTCAGCTTAAGTCTGCTCACAATTTAATGATGCAAATGTATCTTTGTCTAAATTTCCCTGATGAAGGCCATGGTGTGGGTGGGGGACAAAATCAGACACACTTACACTAATGTTCTAATGTGAAATAGTCAAAGGGGTCAGAGTCTTTTCATTGTCTATATCTAATATAAATATAAACCAGATGTGATTCCAGGAAGTATTGGCTGGAAAGGTAAGACAGAAAAGCAAAGTCACGGCACTTACTTCAATGGTATGGATAATATCTCTGGGACCCATAATTTCTGGATCATATTTAATATGTGCTTTGTTGGTTGCCAAGGCCACAGAGCAGTAGAAGATCCCTTTGTGTTTTGTGAGAGTAGACTCGATTTTATGGACACACGAGGCACATGTCATTCCTCTTACCTGTTTAAAAACAAAGTCTTTGTTATTGGAACTATCCCTTTTCTTCAGTTCCAAAGGAGATAGCACTTCTAACTAAAAGGACTATCATAACACAGGATATCTGTACAATTAATATATTTTGATTTGATCATTAGAATCTTGAATTTTGTTTTTCTGAGGGACTGCCACCTCTTTTTTTTTTTTATTTTCAAGACAGGGTTTCTCCGTAGCTTTTTGGTTCCTGTCCTGGAACTAGCTCTTGTAGACCAAGCTGGCCTCGAACTCCGCCAGCCTCTCTGCCACCTCTTTTTTAAAATTATTTATTATGTCTACAATAATCTGTCTGTGTGTGTGTCTGCAGGCCAGAAGAGGGCACCAGACCTCATTACAGATGGTTGTGAGCCACCATGTGGTTGCCAGGAATTGAACTCAGGACCTTTGGAAGAGCAGGCAATGCTCTTAACCACTGAGCCATCTCTCTAGCCCTACCTCTGATGCATTCTCAGGGCTAATAAAAAGAACTGGGTCTGAAGACAACTGTACTAAGCTACACATATACTAAAAGACATGCTACATTGTCAGAGTAGGTTATTCAGTATATGTGAGTCATAGCTTATCTTGATAAAAACTTAATAAAGAAAAAAGAATTCTATTTTTGTTGTGTACGTATACGGTGTGCATGTGTATGTGTTTATGTGTGGAAAGTTGTGCATGCGCACGAGCGTGTATGTGTGTGTCTGTATATGTCTAAATACATACACATGGATGAAGGCCAGAGGGTCAAACTGGATATCTTACTTTATTACTCTACTTTATTCACTGGGATTAATGAAGCAGCATCTCTAGTTGAACACAAAATTCACTCTTTTCTGGCTTCCAAGGACACCCTAATACATGTGGCATATATTAAAGTGCATGCACACACAAATACAAATAAAACTTAAAAATTATGTTATGTGTATGGGTGTGTTTTGCCAACATATATCTTTGCATCACGTGTGTATGATGCCCTTGCAAGCCAGAAGAAGGTGCCAAATACCCTGTGATTAGAGTTACAGATGGTTGTGAGCCCTATGTAGGTGCTGAGGTTTAAACCTGGGTCCTCTAGAAGAGCAGCCAGTGTTCTTACCTGCTAAGCTATCTGGCCAGCCCACTTAGAAACTTCTGACTAAATAAGGGCTAGAGAGATGGTTCAACAGTTAAGAGCACTTGCTGATCTTACCAAAGACCCAAATGGGTTAACACAACTGCCTGTAATTCCAGTTCCAAAGAATATGACATCCTCTAATGGCCTCGTGAAGATACCTGCAGGCATGTTCAATATATACAGAAACACACACATATGTATAAATAAAAATATTTTAAGTAAGTAAAAAGTTAAGTAAATGCCTCTAAAATTCCTCCATAAAAGCAAGAAAAGGTTTTTAAATTGTCTTAACCAATTTGTTTTTCAACTTATAGATCTCCAGGAAGCATTTATTCAAAACCAAATCACGAATTTTGATAAAAACCAGCAAACTGTGTGGCATTACAATCTCTTGTATTCTCTTCTCTTCCTCTCCATTCTGTGGGAGGGAACTAAGAGTCCACAACGATGACGAAAAACAACAGTGTATCCACTGGACACCACAGAACAAAGAGCTCATTCAGAGCCTCCTTTCCAGAGAACTGAGCATTTCACCTATCAGATGGACCTTGGAAATAGCCCCTGCAAAAATGTCTGCCCTGACTGGATGGCTGGAATTCACTGAGCGCAAAAAAACTCCTTCCTGGAAAATATTTCTTAGCATGCAATGGTCTCATTATTTAGGGGAAATAGACACAAGCTCCCATTCCCAATCAAGAAGCTATTTCCAATTAACAACCATTCACAAAGAAAAAAACTAGATTCTTCAAGAGTCTCCGAGTATCCAAACCCCACTTAAGTGCAGGCCCCATGCCCAGCAGTAGATGGCCAAGACAAAACAAACTCAAAAGTAGTTTTGGAGATTTGTTGTCTCATATTGCTTTGTTTAGACTTTCTTTTTAACTTTGCTGATCTTTTTCTAGTATATTATGGTTTAGTACTTTGTGTTTTTATGGGTTTGTGTGTGTATGTATGCGTGTCTGTTTCTGTGTGTACAAGTTTATGCCCTTTTCATGCTCTTTATTAGTTTTTTGTTCTTTCATTCATTTTGTTTTATTCTTGCCTTTTCTATTTGCTTGTCTGTTTTCTTAAGAGAAAAAGGAGTTGGAAGGGTAGGAAGGATCTGGAAGCAAACAAGGGAGGGAAAACCATAATCAGAATATAATGTATACAGATAACTTTAATTTCAATAAAAATAAATATACTTTTGTTTTTCAATTTTTATTTTTATTTACTTCATTAGTTCTTTGGGAATTTCGTACAATGTATTTTGATAATATCAACCTCATCTCCCACAATTCTTCCTATATCCACACCCCCTACCCTACCCAACTTTTTGTGTCCTCTTGTTTAATTTTTTTAAACCCATCAGGTTCAATTTTTTTTCTTTACACTAGAGTTACTTTATACAAAGTTGGTTTATCTTTTTCTTTCATTTCCCTCCTTTCCCTTTCCTTGAGACAATGTTTCACTATGTAGTGCAGGCTGACCTCAAACTTCCAGGAATCCTCCTCTCTCTGCTTCCCAAATGCTGAAATTATGAGCATCCACAACCGCACCCCACTATTTTTAATGCATTTATTTACATATAATGTACGAGGATGACTTTCCAGAGTCAGCTGTCTCCTTTCACCATGTAGGTCACAAAGACAAACCTCTGGTCATCAGACTAATTGGCAAGCACCTTTACTGGCTGAGTCATCTTGCCAGGAGCCACACCTATTTTTTTGGTTTTTAAAAAGATAATAATTCCATTCCATGCTTGAAGACTGCCATTAAGTCAAAGCCTTCTATTTTTAAGTTTCCTTCATTTTTATTATGTGCCCTATTTTCCAAGGTTTTAGTTACCTATATCTATAACAATTTTTCTCTGAAAGCCTCTCCAAGTTTCTGTTAGAAATCTGTTAAACATACAAAAGTTCCTACTTACAACAAGTTCCAAAACGCCATCCCCTTCATCAGCATTTTCCATCACCATGGCTCCAAATCCAAGTTCTCGGATAAACTCTGCTATCATTGGGGGTTGAATAACAGCTGGGTTATATCTTACTTCTGCTTTGCCGGCCATCAGGGCCACAAGTACAGAATATATTCCTGGAAACATTAGTAAGAAAAACAATGCAGGTAATAAGTTTTACCAAAAACATAATGATGCTAAAACTACTTTTCATATATTTTAGTTGACTGCAAAAGTATTAAAGAAAATTTGAATAAATTTACTACTTAATTTTTTATACAAGTCTTAAACCGAAACAATTTCAAACTGTTTTCAAAGGAGGCCTTAGTTTCTTAAACTTATTCTACAAAGTTTAAAATATATATATTTATATATACATATATATGTAGAAGGGACAGCAACATGTTTCACCCTCACTGAGATTAAACTATTATCAATAACATTTGGCTCACCTGTTTTTGTTCAAGGAAGGGTCTCACTATGCAACCCTAACTGGCCTGGAACCTGCTATACAGACCAGGTTAGCCTTGAATTAGAACCCACAGAAACCTGCCTTCCTCTGTGCCCCAAGTGCTAGGATTAAAGATATGTACCACTACCCCCTGGATCATCCTGTTTTTTCTGAAACAGGGTTTCTCTGATGCTTTGGAGTCCATCCTGGAACTAGCTCTTGTAGATCAAGCTATCCTCTGCCTCCCAAGTGCTGGGATTAAAGGTGTGCACCACCACCGCCCAGCTCTATTTTATTTTTTACAGACAGAATCTTACTGTCACTCAAGCTAACATACAAGTCCTAGACACAAGCTGTCTTCCTGTCCCAGCCTATCAGATGGCCAGGAGCATAGGAGCCACAACAACTGGGTCTTGTTTATCTATATTCTTACTGATTGTACTCCTAGCCTTCTATCCAGATTATGTTGAAGCAAATCCCAAACACCCATTACTTTGCATACAAATATTTAAATATGAATCTCTAAAATCTCCTTACAAACAACCACAATAGGACAGGGAATGTAGTGGTAGAACAGCTGCTTAGTGTGTGTGAGTTTCAATCACACCTCACATAAACAACATCTTCACATGTAAAACAATATTCTTAAACCTATTAATTTAACAGTTTTGTGTCCAAATTAGGATCCAAATAAGAAAGATATATTACAATGAGATAAATTTATATCTTATAAAAAATACTTTTAGAAACTAATAAAACCGGGGCTGGGGATGCAGCTCAGTTGGTAAAGTGCTAGCCTAGAACACATGAGACTCTGAGTTGTAGCCCATAAAACTGGGCTTACATTTTTAGTTTTATAGGTACAAAATTATTCAGATGATCAGAGAAAATGTCTGTCTGAAGAGAAGTGGTGTGGTGCATGTCCTTAATCCCAGCACTCAGGAGGCAGACGCAGGCGGCTCTCTGTGAGTCGGACCTGGCCTGGTCTACAGAGTGAATTCTAGGCTAGCAAGGTCTACATAGTAAGATCCTGTCTTTAAAAAAATGACAGAGAAGAGTAATATAGATGATGCAGAATAAATCTTTGTGCTTCTGTTGAATATACTTAGTAGCCTGGTGAAAACAGAGTATAACTTTTCAAATTTCAAATAGCAGTTATTTTAATTTTAACAAATCTCTGAAGCATAACAAGAGCTCGTTCTAATCTTTTCCACCTCGGGGGTGGTACTGGACAATTGAACACAAACGTCTCAGAGGCTAGACACAGCCCACACACTGCCAATGAGCTGTGCTGTACCGTGAACTTTCACTCTTAGAACCTCTGGGCTTTTTAAGTAATGCAACACAGCCTTAATGAGGAGCCTAGTACTCCTTAGTTCCACAGGCTAAGGCCAACAGTTAAGAGGTGGTAAAAAGGACAACAGGGGTTAGCCAAGAGAATTAGCTTAACAAATTTTAAAATGGGGGCTGGTATTGTCACTTAATATCCAAGTATGTATTTAGCTTTCTCGAGGCCCCGAGAAACTAGCACTGACATTATCTCTTGAAAAGAAAATTTCTGTAGTACTTTTCAAACAGGAACTGTTCAAACTTCCTCTGCATTCATTTGCCTGTCAACATTCATTTGTTCCCTCCCTCCTTTCCTTCTTTCCTTTTCTTTTTTGAAATAGGATCTCACTATGTAGTGCTAGGTGTCCTGGACCTGGCTATGCAGACCAGGCTGACCTCAAATTCACAGAGATCTGTGTGCTTCTGCCATTCTTTTCCTTTTTAATGAATCACACAAAGCCTTGACTGCAGTCAGGAAAAGTGGGGGCTGAAATGAATATTGCACAAATAACCAAATGAAGGCACAATGAACCAAAGATATATGTCTTACATTTCACAAAATAATCTTCTAGTCTTATTATAAAAGATGATGTGCTAATTACACTTGAAATAATTTCCTCAATTTCCAAGACATGCTTGCCACATTAAACCTTACTTCCTTAACTAGCCCTTGTGAGTAACATCTATCGTCAAGACATCAAGGGTTAGGTCAGCACCAAACGTAAGACTTTGGTCTCATTAAACATAATCACATATCTATGCGGTTAACTAAGCTACTGTGCTATCCTGAAACGTCTATAAATATGAATGTAAATTTGAGCTAAAACAGCTGAGTGACTGAAGAAAAACTGTGGTGCTGATTTTTGAAGATTCTGTAACCTGAAGTGAAAAGACACGCTACTAAGCAACATGGACTTCCTACGACAAGGGAAGATCAGAGGTCAAACTGTTTCAAGAGACAAATATGGCTGGGCTCTGGTACTTTATATAGGTAAGACAATAGCTAACTCATATCATTATCACTTTTAAGGAAAACTTTAACAAAAAATGTAGTTTCTCATAGTCCATTATAGCCATGGTTCATAAAAGTAATGCTTTGCATTTCTTTTGGCTATAAAGTTTTCAGTAAATTTCATTGGCGCTAAAATGTGACCATAAGATAAAGGAAATAACACTAACAAAAACTACCAGAAATTCAGAGTTGTTCTGTGCATCGAGGATTTTCTTTACAAAGTCTTGGGAAGAATTATAAGTATGGATACAAAATACAAATGGGAAACAATCTGGAAATAAGTCCATAAAATTACAACACTTAAAAGTGTCTTACCTTCTTCTCGTCTTAGATTCCGCTCAATGTTTGCTACACAAGAAGCACAAGTCATTCCAGAGACCTGTATGTAACACTTGCTATGGACTGGTGTCATCACACTATCTGGCTCATTAGTTGAGGGCAAAAGTGGTGTTTCCAATGAGGGCTGAGCTATCACTACCAATGGCTCGTTTGTGTCTGGTGGGAAAAAAAAGGTTCTTTTCATTTGTGGTATTAATTACTCTCCGGCTGCCACGCTGTCATTGTCACATATGTCACAGTTCATGCCTCCAGACCTGGCAATCCATTCTTTAAAATCAGTAAATTCCTAAAAGCCCTCAACAAATACATTGTTATTACCCTTTCTCAGCAATGACTTTGAATTTCTTTACTGACCACCCAGGTACCAAGAAAATCTGACCCAAGTGAATATATAAAATTTTAATCATAATTTTTTTAAAGAAAAAAAAAAACAAAAACAAAACCCTTTAGTCATGTCAGATTCTTCTAGCCATTATCTCCAAACCCATCCCCAAGTAGAGACTAATTGGTTACCAGACAGTTCTTATGCTTGTGTCTAAGTGGAATTATCATGCTGGCAATTTGTACATTGACATTAAAAAACTTCTTCCTTATCTATGGGATATATTTTTCAGTGGGTGCATGAAAGTATCAATAGTACCGTCACCCTATGATGTGTGTGTATACACATATATATGTGATACAGTTTAATTTACAAATGAGGCATAGTAGGGGCTTAACAATTGACAATAAAACAGAATAATTATAACAATAAATGCACTGTTAATCATTGAGACATCTCTCTAACCTTCTCACATGGCTTTTTGTACAGTGTACCACATCCAGGTATAAACCACCATGTTTGGTCAGCCTTTAGCTTTTTAGGCTCATGATATCCTTACGCATTTTATACAACTGCCACAGGACTCATTTGTAAGAAGCGGAATTTCAGCCTGGTGTGGTGGTGCATGCCCTTAATCCTAGCATTAAGCAGGTAGAGACTAAGGAATCTCTGCGAGTTCAAGGCCAGTCAGGTTGATTTAGTTAGTTTCATATCAGCAAGGGCTACACAGTAAATCCCTATCTCAAAAAAGGTGGAATTTCAGTAACTGTGAATATTTTTTTGTTGCTAAATGCCAAATAAAGAAACAAAATAGGAATATAAAAATATTAGGGATATCAAAGAAAAAAATATAATTACCTGGCAAGATAGCATCAAATCCCATGTCTTCAATTGCTTCTCGCAAGGTTTCTGGAGAAGTTAGTAGAGGATCATATTCAACAGTCCCAGTACTATTTGCAAGGGAAACACGGATGGATTTTACACCTGGCTTTTTTGATATGACACCCTCTATAGACTGGACACAAGAATTACAAGTCATGCCATTAATGTTAATCACAGTTTCTTGGGTCAGAGGCTGGCTCACTATGTTCGAAGGCATCTTTTGAAGAGATGAACTGGAGGGAAAGCTGTAGGTATTTTCAACTTCATTTGCAATACTAACTCTGTATTGCCCTGGCGAAACAGCCTCTATTGCTTTTCTCAGCGTTTCTGGAGTGACTGAGCTTGCATTGTACTTTATAATGGCTGACCTATTCTCTAAAGAAACGACTATACTGCTTACATACTGGAGTGTAGATAAAGCACTTTCGATATTTGACACACATGATTTACAGTGCATGCCCTCTATGATGAATGTGGCTGTTGAATCACTGGGATAAGATGGGCTCTTCTGCTGTGATCCTTCTGGGGATTTGACTGATGTATTCTTCAGGCGCTCGACATCAATGGTTCCCAATTTGAGGTACTTGGGCTGCTTTTTTATGAAGGCTGGGAAGCCCACAGCTTCAATCTGCTTCTTTATTTCCTCTGCTGTGATCAGATGAGGCTGATAAACAATAGTAGCTTCTTGGTTGTCTAGGGACACTAAATAATAAATAGAAACATACTTAACTTAGTTATTCCTGGGCCACTTCACAATCAATTGCTGTTTCTCCCTCACTCTTCTCAATGCTTTTTCTTAAATACTTTTGTGGTTTTCAGAAAAAGGGACTGACATACATTGGAAACAAGCAAAAGACATGATCACTGCTCCTATGGTCTCCATATTTCTGGATCATCCCAGTAGCAATACATTAGAGGTAAAGAACACCCCAGGCAGCCTGTTGAGGAAGCCTAAACACCATAAATTGTTACTGCAGCTGCCTCTTCTACTAAAGTTCAAGACTCTCATAACCTTTCATTATAATCATTAACTTCACTAACATTAATCCTGAGAATATGCTACGCCTCCAACTTCAATGAAGCAGAAAGCAATTGCAGGCCCACGGATCGAAGCTCATGCTTGGGAAGAAAGCAAAAAGTATAAAGATCAAAACAGAAAAGAGCTTTACAAAACAAGCAAAAAAAAGAGGAGAGAGCAGATAAATTACCTTTAATTCGCTGAACACCTTGCAGCTTCCCAACTTTGCCTTCAATGGTGCTAGTGCAGGAATGGCAGGTCATCCCTTCCACTTTCATCTTCAGCATGACTTCTCCGCCCTGAGGCGTGCTGTGTTCGTCACATGCTCCTGACTTTTTCTCCTGACTTCCCACGTCTAAACTGAGGTCTGGGACCAGCTCCACAATCTGACTGGCACTCACTAGAGAAGGGATTATGGTTACTACTGCAGTTCTTTGCTGAGGGGAAATCGTAACACCAGTCACACCCTTGGTCTTCAGCAATGTGCTTTGGATATGGTCCCATGGCAGAGCCAGTGGAGCAGTGACAGTCAGAAACACAGTATTGGTTAAAACAGGGAGAGGGCTGGCATTGTGGAGAAGAGCATCAAAGCCCATGTCATCGATAGCTTCTTGGAGGGTCTTTGGAGTCTGAAGTTTAGGGTCAAAAATAATAGTTGCATTTTTTTCTTCCAGTGAAACCTTTTGGAAAGAAATTTCAGAAGTTAGTTTAGCTCAACTATATGACCTAGGAATTAAGAATAACAGGAATTGAGAAGGGGCAGTGGTGGCATAGGCCTTTAATTCCAGCATTTGGGAGGCAGAGGCAGGCAGATCTCTGTGAGTTCAAGGCCAGCCTGGTCTACAAAACGAGTTCCAGGACAGTCAAGGATATATAGTAAGACTCTTGGTTTTGTTTTTGTTTTTTTTTTTTAAAAAAAAAGGAAGAAGAAAAGGAAGAAGAATATCAATGATCAAGAACCAAGCCTTCCTGAGCCATCTCATATTCCAAGACTAGCTCCAGGACACTTAGTTCACACACTGGCCTTCCCTGATAAAGACCTCATCAAAGACCTCTTTTCTGCAGCAGATCAAGACTATTATAGAATGTCCACAACTGGTCAAAAATGCAGAGTACCAATACATACTCATCCCCAATTGATACATCTGCAACACAAATCCTACACCTGAAGCTCAAGGAATATTGCAAGAGAGGGCAGAAAGACCATAAGAGCCAAAAGACCAGGATATCTGCTAAGACATAGTGTCTTCTATGTATGACAAAGAAGATGAATCCATGAAACCACAACAAAATGATTGTCTAAACAAGACCTGCACAATGATAGTATCAGTGGAAAAAAAAATCTCACATAGTCCCACCCCTAGATGCAGAGATAAAGTCCAATAATGGTTGCTGAGAGATAGAGAAACAGTCTTCTCCAAATGGTGGTCATCCCTAAACATGAGTAATAGTAAACAGACTCAGTGGTGTGTGTGTGTGTGTGTGTGTGTGTGTGTGTAAACATGTAGCAATAATAATTAAAGAAATAAGAGGTCATAAATTTGAGAGTGAGTGGTGGGGGAACATAGGAGGAACTGAAGAGGGGGACAAAGGGGAAGAAATGAGGTAAATACCTGTACTCATGTGCAAAATTTTCAACAAAATAAATTTAAAAGTAAAATATGTTAGGAAAAGGATATCAATCACACCACATACAAGAAGGATGAAATAAATAACAGCACTAGAAACTAGTATTTACTCAACTATGTTTTCACCTTTACTACTCTTGCTGGAAAGAAACATAAAATGTTTTATCCACCCAAAACAATGTGTAGGCCTTCATAACTGTGGTACCAATCAGGTAATCAAACTATGTGCATTGACAAGCACACTCTAGAATCTCACCACAGAATACAGACTATACTTTCCTAATATATCTTTTCATAAATTACTGCAACATGTCACATTATACGGATTTAAAAGGTTCTACAAGAAATAGTACTACTACAGAAAATAAAAGGTAGGGTTGAGAGATGGCTCAGCAGTTCAGGGCATCCGCTATACAATCGTGACAACTGGAGCTCATATCCCAGCACCTGTATAACAATCTAGGTATCCAGCACACAGCTTTTAGCTCAGCAAAGAGTGGAGGAGAGACAGGAGGATGGTTGGGCTTGCTGGCTTCCATAGCTGAGAAAAATGTAAGAAGGAACTTGCCTCAAAAGGAAAGGGGAGAATGTAGTAGATGAGATGATAAGCACCCATGAGCTCTCACATCCATGTCTATAAAGAAAAAAAAACCTTTTACAATATAAAATGCAAGTTAATATAAAGTCCACTCCTTTAAAAATATTAATTAAAGGGTGGAGGTATAACTCAGTGACAGAGTGGATGCTTTGCATGCACAAGACCCTGGATATAATGCCCTAGATGTAATTCTCAATAAACACACACATACACAGAGGCTGGGCATAAGCACCATTGCCTTCCAGGGTTTTCAGAAGTAGGAAAGTTCCTTGTAGCAGTAATAAGTTATCAAAGTAAAGTTATCAAAGTATAAGTAAACAAAGAACAGCTAACATTTACTAAGTACTTGTTATGTGTGCCAGGAAATGGGATTCTTAGGTCACAAAGCTGAACATGCCACACTCACATGGATCAACACTAGGACAGAGAATATAGAAGGTGGCTAACCATTGGTCCCTGACATTACATCTCAGAAAAGGCTCCTTGGAGAAAATAATGCCTATTAAAGGACAAAGGGATTCATCACATATGAAGAAACTGCAAACAAATGGAAGCACAAAGGTAGAAAAATATGAAGCCTAGAAATGAAAGGATTGCTCTATTATGGGGTCTTACGTCAATAATAGTTTATAATCTACCTTAATGGTAGTAGAGTGTCATGAAAAAGTTACACAGGGGAACGTCATGAGATCTCTATCTTAAACAATCAGTGCATAGAAGATGATGGGCTGGTTGGAGAGATACCAATTAAGAAACTACTCCAATTGCAACAACAACATAACACAGGCTCTGAATTAAGGCATGTGCATGAGAAAAAAGGGAACAGAAGCTGCTCCAAGACATGCTTATCACAGGGAGACCCAGCAACAAATTGAACCAGGGTCCTCTACAAGAGTAGCAGATACTCTTACTGATTCATTTTTCCAGCTTCACACTTTATTTTTATTTGTGTATATGTGTTTTTTCCTACATGTATATCTGTGCACCATGTGTATGCTTAGTGTCCATGGAGGCCAGAAGATGATGTTGGGTCCCCTGGAACTAAAGTTATAGATGGCTGTTAACTATAGTATAGGTGCTGGGAATTGAACCCTAGTTCTCTGAAAGAGAATTATGTCATCCAGGCTGTACTATAATTTGTGCTATGCCTTGAAATATAACACGACTATAGGCTGACCTTGACCTCACAATCTTCCCACCTCATACCCTGAATGCAGGAAGTATAGGAGTGCATCTCGTTGTGTGGCTTTAATTTTTCTTCTTCTCATGGAAAATACTATATGGCATAATCTAAAACCAATATAAATTATTTTCCCATTTCTGTTGATCATTTATGCTAGTGCTCTCTTCCACAAAAAGCTACCTGGCTAGAGTTATCTGAGCCTTAAAACCTCCATGCCATGATCATATTTCAAGTTTTTATCAAACTTATTGTTGTCAGTTACAAAGCTAAAGGAAGAAATAAAAAATGAAGTTCATTAAAATAAGCAAAAGGGGGCATCTTAGTGGTTAAAAGCACTGTCTGCTCTCTCAGAAGATCTGGGTTTGATACCCAGAACCAAAATGATAGCTAACATTCACATGGCCAAAACACCCATACACATTTATAAAAATCTAAAAGAATTCACCTATTGTAGACTCCGTGACCCTTATTTATGGCTAGAAACCAATTATGAGTGAGTACATCCCATGTTCATCTTTTTGGGTCTGGGATACCTCACTCAGGATAGTGTTTTCTATTTCCATCCATTTGCATGCAAAATTCGAGAAGTCATTGTTTTTTACCGCTGCGTAGTACTCTAATGTGTATATATTCCATACTTTCTTCATCCATTCTTCCATTGAAGGGCATCTAGGTTGTTTCCAGGTTCTGGCTATTACAAATAATACTGCTATGAACATAGTTGAACAAATGCTTTTGTCATATGATAGGGCATCTCTTGGGTATATTCCCAAGAGTGGTATTGCTGGGTTCAGGGGTAGGTTGATCCCGAATTTCCTGAGAAACCAAAACACTGACTTCCACAGTGGTTGCACAAGATTGCATTCCCACCAGCAATGGATGAGGGTACCCCTTCCTCCACAGCCTCTCCAGCAAAGGCTATCCTTGGTGTTTTTGACTTTAGTCATTCTGACAGGTGTAAGATGATATCTCAAAGTTGTTTTGATTTGCATTTCCCTGATTGCTAAGGAAGTTGAGCACGACCTTAAGTGTCTTTTGGCCACTTGAACTTCTTCTGTTGAGAATTCTCTGTTCAGTTCAGTGCCCCATTTTTTAATTGGGTTAATTAGCATTTTAAAGTCTAGTTTCTTGAGTTCTCTATATATTTTGGAGATCAGACAGAGACCCACACTGGAGCACTGGACTGAGCTCCCAAGGTCCCAATGAGGAGCAGAAGGAGGGAGAACATGAGCAAAGAAGTCGGGACCACGAGGGGTGCACCCACCCACTGAGACAGTGGAGCTGATCTATTGGGAGCTCACCAAGGCCAGCTGGACTGTGACTGAAAAAGCATCGGATAAAACTGGACTCTCTGAACATGGCGAACAATGAGGGCTGATGAGACGCAAAGGACAATGGCACGGAGTTTTGATCCTGCTTAATGTGCTGGATTTGTGGGAGCCTAGCCAGTTTGGAGGTTCACCTTCCTAGATATGGACGGAGGGGGGAGGACCTAGGACTTACCACAGGGCAGAAAACCCTGACTGCTCTTTGGACTGGAGAGGGAGGGGGAAAGGAGTGGGGGAGGGGGAGAAAGGTGGGAGGAGGGGGAGAAGGGTGGGAGGAGGGGGAGGGAAATGGGAGGCTGGGAGGAGGTGGAAACTTGTGTTTTTTTTTTTTTACTCCTTTTCTCAATTAAAAAAAAATCTAAAAGAAAGTCTAGTTTCTTGAGTTCTCTATATATTTTGGAGATCAGACCTTTGTCTGTTGCGGGGTTGGTGAAGATCTTCTCCCAGTCAGTGGGTTGCCTTTTTGTCTTAGTGACAGTGTCCTTTGCTTTACAGAAGCTTCTCAGTTTCAGGAGGTCCCATTTATTCAATGTTGCCCTTAATGTCTGTGCTGCTTTTAATCTCACTTGCCTGAGGTCCATGGCATTCTGATTGAGGAAACAGATGTGACTGCAGTTCCATAGTAGTATATTTGCTTAGTCTGCAAGGACCTAGGATAATCCTGAGTGTTGCAAAGAAAAGGCTAAAGGAGAAGAGGGAAAATAGATCACTGGTTGTCAGGGCCTATACAAAAGCCTTAGGCAGTACAGGTAGTTTTCAGGGGTGGGGGGTGGGGGTGGTTGTGGTGAATGAATCTGCACATGTATTTCTGCTAGCTGCTACATGGGGCAGAAACCTTCAGGGGTAAACTGCTATATTAACACCCCTTCCAACAGTTCTTTCTCGTTCTTTTTTTTTTTCTTTCTCGTTCTTTTCAGCTAAAACTTTACGATACAAATTGAAC